ACATCTGTGAAAGATTAAGTTGTTGCTATTTTAACAATCATTTATAAGTTAACAACTTATGACGTTTCTCTTCTGGGTGAGAAAACAGGCAAGCCTTAGGATTTTGTGGGTTGCAGGGGTCACAAGTGCACTGGTCATTATTTATCTCTAGGGACCTTTTTTTTTAGTGCCTTTATATTAATTGTCACTAGGGTCTTAATAGCAGGCTATGGGGCTTTCTAAGTAATTTTTATTTTTAAAGAGTTTAATGTAAATAAATCATGGAGACTATATTGAATCTACTAAAAGCTAAAAAAAAAAAATCCCTAAAATAACTAAATGAAAAAGAGATCGGGGGATTTGAATGCATGGTGATATGACATGAATCATTGCTAAGTTCAGTACTTGCAAAAATTATCCTTGCTTTTTAACCAATAAGAGTTATTTTTTTTCTTTAAATGCAGTAGTTCACAAAGTACAGTTTCAGAATATTTTTCCATGGTTGATTAAAGCCATTGTCTAATGTCATTGTAAAATGAGAGTTCGTAGAATAGTAAGGCGATAAGAGCTCGACTATTGGATATAATTATGCACATTGCAATATTACACTGCACAGATTGCAATGACTTTTAAAATACAAATTTATATTCATAAAAAATAATGGGATTCTATGATATGCTTACTCTCATAAAATATGTCCCTGTATTCCTTACTTCTACGTTTTTATTTTCTGTCAGGAAACCTGTTATGTTAAGGTGAAATCAAAATAGATACTTATTAATATGATTAACTGTACTAGCTAATTGTAGTAAGACTGGTTAGTTCTACAGTAATCAGGCGACATGAAAATACCTCATTACTGGTTTGGGTGGCTTTGTTGTCTTCTTTAGGGATCCTAAAACCTGTAGGAGTAGCAACTGGGTTCTGTAAGTGGTTAAGTTTTTCCTCCTCCTCCTCTTCAATGTGTAGGCTTGGCAGCTGCTCTGCAACACTTGTTGCATGTTCTTGAGCCTCTGGTAGTCCTCTGTGGATGCCTGCCATGACCCCCTCCCAGATTTCCTCTTCTTCCTCTCCAATGGCAGGTAGGGTTGTAGGCAAAGCACCCACTTGGGTGCACGCAGTGGTTACAAACTTATCACCCAGGATTTCAGGCAGCCTTTTAGGGTCTGAAAAACCCCTCTTCACGTATTTTGAATCTGAAGATTCATTTGGGGTTGCCTTGCTGGTGTCCTGAAGCGACACTGCATTGCAAGGAGACGCTGCAGCTGAAGTCTCAGCCCAGGTGGGAAAAGCAAAGGGAGAGCCAGGTGTTCTGGCAGGTTCAGATGCTGCCGGCAACACGAGGGGGCCAGAGGGCTCCTCCTTAATCTCCAGGATGATCTCCTCCGGGAAACTTGCCTGGGCGTGGTCAGCCGGCACAGCTAAAGCACTGAATTTTTCCAATTCGTACAACAAGTTGTCCAGAAAAGAAGATGGGGTTGGAGCCATGTGGTTTGCTGATGGCCACGTGTGTGGTGAGGGCAGCCACCCCTGGGTCACTCCCTGGAGAGCTGCTTTGGCTGACTCTGGTGAAGTTCTGGGCACCGGAAAAGGGGCCGGCTTATGCGATGCCAATTTAGAAACCAGGAGGAATTATAAATTAAAAACAAATCAAGAAAATAACAATAAAGGATCAAAACACAGAGACAGATATGCAGGAAAGGGGTGGCAGTGCATATAAAAATAATAACACAGACACAGATTTGAAGATTTTTTGGCTAACATTTGAATACATGAAATCATTTATGTTATTTAGGAAATTACTTGAAAAATGAAACTTACTTTTGGAAAGGCTCTAAGAGATCAGATGAAAAGATAAAGACTTTATAGAGTTTATGAGGACAGAGATTAAAACCTTAGGAAATGTAGCTTAGTAGCTGACCTATTTTGAATTACTTTGAAAAGATCTTATAGTTTCTCAATACTGGTGTAAATGATTCTAAAGAAATGCTCATGGATCATGAAAATCAACAGTGGAGCTTTAATTGTTGCCTGAATTTGTTTAGGGTTTTCTTTCTGCAGTAGGGCTCATCCTTTAAGAACCACAGTTTGCTCATTTATGTTCACAAGGCAATGATAGCATATGATCTAATACAGTATTTTCATTCATGTATTAACAAAAATATTTTTCAAGAAGCCCATTATCAGAATGAAACTGAAGTCACATAATCACTGCTTCAAAGTTAAAAACAGAAGAAATGGAGTAAATGTTTACACACCGCAGGAGCACTAAATGGCAATGTCAACTTCTATGACTCTCTGGTTGGCATGACATCTTTCGTAAACCCGAGCAGACAGAACTTACGAAGCTTCCTCTCCTGGTGTAAGGAGGGAACTTCTGTGTATCTTATTATTTAGAATGTACTTTTGATCTTGTACACAAAACAATATGCTTAAATGTTCATCCAAACTCATTAAAGGTAATTCTGAAAGTGCTACCTGGTAACACTCTGCATATTTCTCTCTCCTGGGACAGAAGACAGTGCTGCCTGTGGTACAGCGTGAGTCTGGGTGGAGAGCAACGATTATTGAGTGCTGTAGATGTTGCCTTCTTAATGAAACACTAAGTCCCTCAGTTTCACTCACTGGTCTACAGCAGCCCCTTTACTGGCTGGGTTTCTGCTTATGCTTTTTGTCATGCCACATGAAAATGTCTAATCAGACTTTGAAAGTCTGTGAAATACATAATAAATCAAGGTTATTCCTTTACACTTTTGCTTTTTCTCATGTACAGAAATATTATGTGGATGAAAAAGAATGACCTTTAAAATTGCATTATCACCATTGCTACCTGCACTATTGCTATCTGCTGTCATCACTGCCATAGTCATCAGTAGACATGCTAACATGTTAAAAGTGCCTAGCTTTGCAATGAACTCATTTATACTGAAAGTCAAGTTAAGTAACCCAGAATACACTATAATATAAAAATTATATAATTATCTGGTCTTCCAAAAACCTTAGCATTGAATTCTACTATATTGAAGTAAACTATCATAAAAAATATCAACTCATTTATCTTCCCTAGAGAAATGTGATTCGAAAGTGTCAAAGAATGAGTCACAAATCCTTAGGGAGTTTCTTCCTCTATTTAGATATTAGTCAGAAAACAGAACAGATAACACTGACAGCATTTTAGATGTTCCTGCATGAAAGTACATCATATTTTTATTTCTGAAAATGATTCAGGGTAACACACTGAGAACTTTCCTCCATTCAGTCTGTGACATCACAGCATGGCTTACCAGGCAACATGAAACCATTTGCATGCTGTTTTCAAATGATAGACATAAAATTGTCAACATTTTTTTCATTGGTGAGAAAAATACAATATTTGAATATTAATGAAATGGTTACATTCTAATAGTATAGAAGAATATGAAAAGGTAACTTGGATTTGTAACGAAACTTAAAGCACAGTGAACTAAAACATTACATTGTTGCTGTGAACTAGGGTGCATTAAAACAGAATTTTAATGTTAAATAAACCTTTGGAAAACTTGCTTTTCCTTATGATGGTTTATTTCAAGGCACAGTTGCCTTTAATTGGCCTAACAGTTCTTTTACAAGGAGTGCATGGAGGAAAATGCAACTACATGAATGCAGATTTTGTTTTTTCTGTTTATCAGGAGGAACAACCAAAGGAAGGGCACTGGCCTTTTGGTGCTAAGCCTTGATCATAAAACAAATGCACTTAAGAGATTCTGAAAAACTTTAAAACCAAACACACAAAATTAAATAGGACTAAACTGTTCTGTTACCCACTGACACAGGATTACAGCAATCAGGGACTAGAGAAACTGGGATTCAAGGAGGACCAGAAGAAATAGCAAGAAATGATAAACTGAACGGAAAGGCCTCTGTTAAGATAGAAGCTGCTTAGCTTACCTACTTATGTGAAATTCTGCTAAAACTCACTTTTTAGGAGTAGTTTAAGTCACTGGGAACGCTATCTGTCAGGGAACAGGAAATTACTTCACATTTCTGTGTCTGGGTTTGCCACTTTGATACTGAGTTCTTAGATGGGTGCTTTTTCTGTTTTAACCTCAATCACAACTAAGTAACTGATAATAAGTTTCATATCTTAATAGATCTTCTAAATGTTGAAAAGTACTTTTATGATACTTTGATATTCCTAAACAATTTAAAGTTTTACACTTTGAGGTTTGTGTAAGGAGAAACACCATCTCTAAACACCATCTACTAGATGAATATAGTATACACCCAAAGAAAAATTTTAAAAAATCACATTGTGAATAAAATAGAACAGTCTTTTCCAGTTAAGCAATTCAAGAAGAAAATTCTTTTAAATTACATATTGAGAACAGCATCAATTTTGGTTACTACTACATGTGAAAAGAGCGGATCTGGAATATAATTTTCCTAAAACCAAAAAATAAAGTTGGACTTAACAACAATCCACAATAATGGATTTTTCTTCTTTCTATTTAAAAAGAAAACCCTGAGACTTTTAGAGCATTTTGTTAATTAATAGCTATTTGTTATCGAGATGCACCATTCTGAGATGTAGTATTCTAAACTGCATACATTGACACATTATATTATAATTGTATGCTAATTAATATAAATCATATGCATATTAGTACATAGTCATGTGATATAATTTTAAAATATAAATTGAAGCCAAAATAACAAAGTTTTAAAAAAGTTTCATAGATCTTATCTATACATCAATATATATATATATCATATGATGTTTGATACTACTGCTTATTTATTTTTCAATATTATGACTTGAAAACAGTATTCACAAAATCCAGCATTTAAATCTTTATGCTGGTACCTACTTGGGAAAAATTAAATTACATTTATTGACATGGCACTTACAATGTAGAAACATTATTATATAAATTCCTTTCTTTGCAATAACGTGATGTTGTAGTGTAATTTCCCAACATCACTTACTGATGATCGACTCCCAGTTTCTCAATGTAAGTAGATATAACAGAACATCTTCTTACCTTATTAGAGCTGAGGCTGTGGATTCTGTCACTAGAGTAGCTGTGGGGTATTGGAGGGTCAGGGTAGTCCTCAGCACCTTTTGTATTCTTCTTGGTGACTTCTACGTAAGACACAGGGAAGATGCCTTGTCTGTTGGTTCCTGGAATTTTACCTTCATACCAGTTTTGGTCAACTCTTTTCAGAAGAATAACTCTATCTCCCTGCATAGGAAATTAGGAAAATATGTTATAAAAATATGTACTAGTATAAAATATGATTTTGCTGTTGTCTAATAAGCCATAGTTTTTCTTTGGGGAAAGTGCTTCACTCCTGGATTTTGTTTAGTCAGGGGAATGAGAGTAGGGTCCTAGTGCTAATTTAGAAAGAGTATTAGCCTATAAACAAGTAAATTGCACACTCACGGCATGGGATCATGCCTAAGAATGTTTGGCCAATGTGAATGCGCTTGCAGATGTGCTTGCTAGCACTGTGTGAGATGATAGGTATCAGTTATTTCAAAAAGCTCGAGTTGAATAGGTAATGTCCCATGGCAATAAAATCACCCTCTCTCTGATAGGTTTAATGGAATGAATTTGGAGTTTTAGAATGCATACCACAGCTCACAGTGATGGTGTGTCTAGAATAGTTTGCAGAAATAACATCTAGAAAGAATAGCATAGAATATACTCCATGTTCTTCTTTAACCTATGTGTGCTAAGTGCTGACAGTCACTAAAGGGTTGGGTGCAAAGCTAGTACCTACAGATTCTACAGCTGAAGCTGTGACTGACATGCCTCTGATCTGGACAGGGACAGCTTAATGGGACAGCATCCAGTCTGATTGGTTGGTGGCCATGCATCATTGCTGCTGGTCATCTTGTATTTGAGCACAGCTCTTTGCTTTTAAATGAATATTTATTTATTGGAAAGGCAGATTTACAGAGAGAAGAAGAAACAAAGATTTTCCAACTCCTGGTTCACTCCCCCAATGGCTGCAATAGCCAGTGCTGAGCCAATCTGAAGCCAGGAGCCAGGAGTTTCTTATGTGTCTCTCAATGGATGCAGAGTCCCAAGGCTTTGGGCCATCCCTTACTGCTTTCCCAGACCACAAGCAGGAAGCTGGATGGGAAGCGGAGCAGCAGGGACACAAAGTGGCACCCATATGGGATCCCAGTACATGCAAGGCAAGGATTTAGCTACAGGGTCACTGCACTGGGCCCACAGCCCACAGCTCTTGCATTTTTACAAAACTACAAATTCCTATTACTGTTGCTTGCAATGATCAAGTCACTGCAACAGAATCCAGTTTAAATTAATAATAGTTTATTTTAATTTATTTGAGGGAAGGGAAGGAGAAAGGCAGAAAAGGGGAGAGGGAGGGAGGGAGGAAGAGAGAGAGAGAGTCCCATCTACTGATCACTCATGAAATGCCCACAGCAGCTGACACTGGGTGGAGACTAAAGCTGAGAGCTGGGAACTCAATACAGACCTTGCACATGTGTGTCAGGCAACAAATCATTTGAGCCATCACCTGTCATCTCTCAGGTTCTGTGTTGGCAGGAAGTTGGAGTCAGGAGCCAGGGCTGGGACATGGTCATCTTAACTGCTGCACTGAATGTTCTCGCTTACAAGTTTTAATTCAAAAGCACACATGAGCCAGAAATCAGTAGGCTAGGATTGCTACAGTGAAGAAAACTTCAGGAGTTTCTAGAAAGTGACACAGAAATTTGGGGAACTGAACATGCCAGAATAGTGGCAGCAGCACAGAGCCAAGGAGCTCCAGTACAGTAGAACCCTTTAGGGGCTATGCCTTTTTGTCAGCAGGCTCTATGATTTATTAAAAATGTATCTCTACTACTGAGCAGAACACGAATAAGGAATGTGATTTTCTCCAAATTTTAAGTTGTGGATTTGAAAATAGCTCGAGAACAAGCAGTTGCTAGTGTGTTGTGTCGTCTGTAAAAGATGCACTGGTGAAGGCTTTATGTAAAATGTGAAACCAAAGATGATGTGGCTTATGTAATGCTGTATTGGCATCTATGCTGAGTGGAGCAGGGTGGAGGGCAGGACAGAATGAGTGGATGATGCAGAACCAGGACTGAAAGGAGAGAATAAGATGAGGTACTGCCAAGGTCGTACCTGTTGTATTTCCCTTTGTTGCACCTGGCTAAGGATTTCAACACTATGTGTGGAGGTTCCAGAGTTGCCAAACACCTTGTGTTATTATCAATTTTGTTTTAAGGGCAGAAGCAGCTACCCTATTGCTTAGCAGGTAATAAAAACAACTCATGCACCATTGCCAACTATGTAACATAACAAGTTGAAAGGGTCCTTTCTTATTGTTATATAGGAGAGATACCATCACTGGGTAGACTGTTAGTGCAACCTGAGTCAGTCATGAGGCCCAGAGCAAGATAACAAGTAACAGCCCTGTCTAGTGGGATCTTCATGAAGACTCCCCAAGGAACAGGGCTCCACATTGCATGAGGGCCACTGTTTACTTACAATACAAAGACAAGCTAGTTTGGGGACATCATGCTTCAAAAAGATTGAATGATAAGGCAACAGAATAATTTGTATCTTAAAGTGCATTAAAATGCTCTTTCCTTTTATGGCTCCTAGATGGTTGTCTACTTGTGTTTGGCCTGATGTGCCCTGGGGAGAGGATGTGAGGCAGGTGCATGAAGGAAGCTCAGCATCCCACAGTGATGTCCACGCTTCAACTTGAAGGGCACAAGGCCAGGAGGTGACAGTGGCTCTAGGCAGCCTTCAATCTTCTCGAGTTGAAGAATAAGGGAGAAACAGAAATAGCTAAGGAAGATGGTATCTTACTTTAGTTTTGAAAATATACAGTCTCGGGACTGGCACTGTAGCCTAGTGGGTAATGTCCTCACTTTGCACACGCCTGGATCCCATGTGGGCGCCAGTTTGTGTCCTGGTGGCTCAACGTCTCATCTGGCTTTGGATTAACTCAGCTCTGGTCATTGGGGCCACTTGGGGAGTGAACCAATGGATGGAAGGTTGTCCTCTCTCTCCTCCTCTCTGTATGTCTGACTTTACAATAATAAAAAAAAATCTTTAAAAAAAAAGAGCGAGAAAACATACAGTCTCACTAAATGCACTAGGTTACCTTTCTCAAGGACAGTTCCACGTTTGTGTCTGCATTGAAATTATATTTGGCTACAGCTTCTCCGATCTCTCCAGGCTGGGCTGGGGGAGGTGGTCTTGCAGGCTGTGCCTTTTCAGGAGGTGTGAGCTTCTGTGGAAGAAAACCACTGTTGATTCTTTGTGGTGCTCACCTTAACAAAGACTCAACTTACACACACGTGCCTTCTTAAAACACATCATTTGAAAGGAAGAGAGGCAGAGAGACAGAGATAGGCGGACATCTTCAGATGCCTACAACAATCAATCAGGCCAAGACAGGAACCAGGACCTCAATCCCAGTCTCTTATGGAGGCGGCAGAGACCCATGTGCTTGGGCAGCCACATGCCACCATCCCAGGGGCTGTGTGAGCAGGAAGCTGGAGTTGAAGGAAGAGCTGGGACATGAGCCTGGGCACTCTAATATGGGATGTGGGCATCCCAAGCAGCATCATTTTTCAAACTAATTATTAATTAGTATTTATTTATGATTTATATTTTCAGAGAGTGAGAGGAGAGACACACAGAGATATCTTTCATCTGCTACTCCAGGTCTATACAAGACCCCAAGCCCTTGTATCATCTTCTGTGCTTTTCTAGGCCACTAGCAGAGAGCTGGATTGCAAGAGGAGTAACCGAGACATGAACTGGCACTCATATACCAGGGTCACAGGTTGGGGGGAGCTTTACCTATTACACCACAATGCTGGCCCGAGTGCCAGCTTAAGCACTGTGCCAAATGCTTACCCCAGTCATTGACTCTCAAACATGATTTCTGAAGCCATTGTCAACCAAGAGGTGGGGGAGGTGGGGAAAGGCCGTACCTCCACGTAAGAGATGGGGAAAATGCCCACTCGTCCAAGGTGCTCTCCTTCATACCAGTTCTGATCGATTTTCCTGAGGATGTAGACAGTATCTCCCTTCTTAAATGACAACTCCCTGGAACAGATATATTTAAATAGTCTTTTTCTTGCTGTAGAGCGATAATTGTTAAGACCAAAACAGACAGGTGTCATACATATTGCCACTTCACGTCCAAAGAAGTGCACTACGATCAGTGTGAACTGGAAACAAAGCAGATGTTTCTCATCCCAAGTAAAAAGGTGTCAACTCTTCCTCACCATTGCATTTTTACATTGGATTTAAGCCAGGTTTGCCATCTTTTAATACTTACTTCTACTACTTCACTGATTTTCTATTTTGGTAATACTGTCAAAGTTTGAGTAACTTTATTTTTTATGTCTTGCCAGAGACAGTTTCTGAAACAATGAATCCTATCATAAGCACTTTTAAAAATAAAATATCTTGGTTGCATGTATTCTAGAATACAGTGTCATTTAATGGAAATTCACAATGAATTTGCTATCTTAAATTCTAATGGAGGCCATTGTTTTTTTGGTTTTTTTAATGATGCAGGTTCACAAGGGCTATGAAAAGTTGGGTGAACTCCTTCCTATTTGAATGTTCTCGTATGCTCAGTATGTACCTTTCTCAACCACAAGTCTTTCTGGTGAGTGAATTTCCAAAGAAAAAGAAGTGAAAGAAAGATCACAAACGCTAACACCATAAAACCACAGAGTAGAATTTTGCTCAGAATCGCCAAGCTCTGAGCGTATGCAGTTGGAGCTTTCACCCTAGGGATTGGTACACATTCTTGTTATCTGAAGAGTGGGGTTTACAACTATTATCCAACCTCCTCATGTAAGGGCTGTTTATCACGAATGCTTTATTTTGAATTCCTTCTTGACACAGAAATTCTGGAAGCAAAGGTTCTTAATTTCTTTTGTTTTTCTTGTTCCGAATCAAATTGTGCTCTAGCAGGTTCAGTACTACTTAAAAATATCAACTAAATTTGAAACTTTTCAATTAAATTGCAAATGAAAATTAAACTTACCCCACCCTAACTGACTCGGAGGGGGCACTTACTTATAGTAGATTGCTGGATTGGGTATTGGGCATTATTTGTAAACACATCCCATTAAAGTATTTATCTCTGAAAGTATTACTAACACTCTCATCTTTAAAGTCTACTTGAACCTTATAGTGCATACTCATCTTACTTACTTTGATGTCTGAGCCTTAAAATCATAAACAGCTTTTGCAGGCAATTTCTGAAAAGGAAGGTTAACAGTTAACATTAACTTGTCATTTGGAATTTACGCCAGAAAGCAGTTTCCTGTACATAAAAAAAAAAGAAACCCCACAGAATAATTAAACATATTGAATATAAATCCCTTAGGCAATATTCAAATAAATCAATTAGCTCTATATTTGGATATCTGAGCTATAACAGGGATATAATAGATTGTCTAGTTGTTCTATTTTATCTTAGGAACTAAGGTGAATTAATGCCAAGAGGGGAATAAAACGTAGCTATTAAAAGGCTTTTCCTGGGCTAATTGTGGAGCATCGGTTGTTTTCTCTCCTATGGGTTGAAGCATGATAAAAAATGAAAATGCCTTAAAAAAACCCTTGTGTCCCCTTTACTGATTGTTTATTACTATATAAGCAAATACATTTTAGCCCAATTATTACTAGGCAAAGTGGCCAGAGTACAGGCATGTTCACCTTGCAGGCACCGGAAGGCTCTGGAATCCTCTCGTACACTGTCCACCAGGTGCTCACCTTTTAGTCTTGATGTGATGTGACATACGAGTAGCCTCAAGCTGTGGGGCACGTGAAGCTGGCTGAGGTACCTCCTTCCCCACCAACTTGTAACCCCCTTGCTTTTTCCCTGTGACTCTGGTAACCACTGGGAATTCTCAACCATCTCTTACTCCTTCAGGGCTCTCACAGGTACTGGACTATGCCTGTAAAATCTTCCTGGAGTGGCTTGTTGGTTCATGACTAAGGTTTGTTTCCATCAGACTCTCACAGCTTAGTTAGCAAGAATTTTAGCCTTGGTTCAGGGGCAAGGACAGAGACATTGGGTATAGGGGCTCCCAGCAGACATGCTACTAAGACCAGGGCTCCCAGCCTAAGGGATACTAAGCACTTTTAAGTTATCCTCTCCTACAAAAGTAAGTCACCCAAAAAGATATATGTGAATTTGTGCTTGTGTGCAGGGCAGTTGGCCTAGGGTTCTCTTTCTGACCAGTGGGAAGGAAAGGATAGAGGAAACCAGGCACCCCAACTCAGGATTCTTTTCAGATCACTCTGTTAAATAGTGAGTGTCAGGTTGAGACTGGGAGAGACCTCACTGCTGAAAATGTATCACAACTGGGGAAGGAGGGAAGGATAGGGGCTAGGGTGGGAGAGCAAATTGCTTCAAGTTCTATGCTCAGGCTCTGAGGAAGAATGCTCCTAGTCTCTCTCTCAGCAGTTATTTCCATGCTTTCACTCAGAGTGAATACAAATTGGGCTGGCAGACCCTTGATAAAAGACTAACTGCTAAACTAACTACCTCTTTTTCCGGAGTTCCTCTTCTTTCTCTTGGTGCACTTCTTCCCATGTCTGTCAGAGTGGATGAGTAACTTCTAGGGGACTCACGGTCTATTGGAAATGACAGGATCAGTCAGAATGAATAGCCAGTTAGTTAAAAGCAGATTTCTTCCACCATTTCCCAAAGTGGCAACCACTGCCCCCGCATCCCATCTCTACAGATACAGCACTCTTAGGTAATAATGACATTATGATATGAGACACACAAAACCAAGTACATTTCAAAAGGTTTCAGGAGTTATTATAACTGCCTATATAAGAATAATTATCAAATAGCTGGTTAGTTATGCTACAGCATCTGGTGCAGACAATTCACAGTTATATAACAATTTTTCATATTAAAATACTATATTTTTGTCCCCAACTTACAATTATTATCAAGTCTGTAGAGGATGGAGAATTTGAAAATGACCACAAAACTTCAAAAACACACATTTTGTGGAATGACAACTTAAGAACGTGGGAATGAAAATGAAAAAGTTAAAACTAAATAGAATATGATGATGACAAGACTCTCGTCATATTGCATTCTTTCTCCATATTGAATCTTAAGATGTCATGCCCTTTATCTTCAGCCTTCCCTTCTAACAAACAAACAAACTGTCTTATCAGAAAGTAAATATATATTTGAAAAAATAGAAGAGCTGAGCATAAAGTATTATATTGGTTGACAAATTGCTTATATGAAACATTAAAGGATAAGTAATTACATATGTAATGATAGCATATTATACCTTACACATGTTTATGATTTATAAGCAAAAATACAATAAAAGGTTAAAAGTATTGCAGTAGGTTCTATTATAGAATTACCAATGTAAGTGCTTCAAAATCAGTTAATTCTTTTATCTTTTAATAAACTTTACTAAAGCTATATCTATAATATGTAATATATAAATATGTATAATAACTACATAATTATAAAAATATATTGAATGGTTATAATAAAACATTAAAAATGGAACCTAATTTATCCATCTGAGAAGGAATTTGGAATTGTCATCCACAAAAATTGTTATTCATTGTATAAGGATTTTTGACTATTTTGACTATATGGAAGATTAATTGCTTATAAGTTTTATATGAATTGCATGACATATGAGAAATCATCAAAAAGTTAATGGAAAATGTGTATTATGAAAAGGCTATGCATGGATTTCTTTTTTTAAAAAAGTATTATTTGGAGCTGGTGTAATGGTTTAATTGGCTATCCTTGGCCTATAAGTGTTGGCATCCCATATGGCTGCCAGTCATGTCCCAGTTGCCCAACTTCCCATCCAGCTTCCTGCTTGTGGCTTGGGGAAGCAGTCAAGAGTGAGACTGCTTTGAGGCGCCTTGAGACTCTGCACCCATGTGGGACATCTGGAAGAAGCTCCTGGCTCATGACTTTGGATTGGCTCAGCTTTGGCCATTGCAGCCATTTGGGGAGTGAACCAGCAGATGAAAAATCGTTCTCTCTGTCCTTTTCTCTGTAAATCTGACTTTCCAATAAAAATAAACACATCTTAGAAATTATTTATTCATTTTTTTTTTGACTGGTGCAGTTACAGGGGGAGAGAAAGAACAGGGAGAGAAGGGATCATCCATCCACTGGTTTACTCATCAAGGAACTCCATCCAGGTTTTTCACAGGGATGTCAAAAGCCCAAGTTCTTGGACCATTATCTACTGCCTACCCATCTGTATTAGCAGGAAGTACTATTAGAAGTGAGCAGCCAAGACTTGAACTGGCACTATGATATGAGATATAGGATAACCTGGTGGGCCAAATGCCTGTCTTAACAGTGCATGGATTTCAAATCTTTTTGCACAAAATAAATGTAATCCCATTTTCTAATAACTTTTTACAATATCCTCATGTAAGGATAAGTGCCGAAATGTGAATTCCAAAATATATAGGATTAGAAAGGTGACATGATCACAGATGTTTTATGTAAAATCTAACCAAATGCTGTCACACATCTAGATCATGTGTAGTCCATTTTCATTCTAAACTAGTACACTAATACATTTAAAGGGACTTTATAATTATGATAAGTCTTAAGGTTAATTTTATTAGCTCATGACATTTAAACTACTTTTCACTTGGGTAAACACAATTGGAATGTAAATATTTTAACAAAATTCTCTAAGTACATTTTAAAGTCTTCTCAAATTATATTTCAATAAACTGTTCTTCACATAACATTGAGAAATGGTTATGTCAGGAAGTTGAAAGGCTGAATAAGGTAGTTCATTTTAAAATTTAGACCCTGACGTGTCTGTATCAGAAATCAAGATTAAAAAAACTACAGAAACTTTCAAAAAATTTTTAGTGTATTATTTTTCTAGCATATTGTATAGTACAAATTAAAATAGATAAATGCTAATAGGTAGATTCATATAATTAATAACTTAATCACACATGTTGCACTGATATGAAATTTAACTTACATCTCTTTTTTACTTACAGAGATTACATTACATGCTATAAATTCTGAATTAGTAAAGGTTTGAATCCTCTCTCTGTAAGTTGTTATCTATGTGACCTTGGGCAAATTTCATGTTCTTTCTAGGCCTCAGTTTCCTAAATTGTAAAACAATGTTTGCAGTAATACGCGTCCCATTGGTTTGTGCCAGGGTTAGTGCATGTAATGCCCCCTTTAGTCTTTGCTGCCCAGAAGGGGCTCTGACAATGACCTGAATTCAGCCAGAAACTGTTCCCTCCAGCCTCTTAAGATCTGCACAGCAAACAGAAGCATTTTATGGATCAGTGAAAAGGCTTCAATAAAAATATTAAAACAGCTCGTGCTTGTAAATTGTCTAAACCTCAGGGAAACTGTTGCCTGGATTTGAACTGCTACTTGTCCGAGTGTTGGTTTTTTGTCATCTTTCAAAAGGCAGTTGAGATTCACTTTTAACCTAAGCGATCTAATTAATGTTTCAACATATAATTGTCTTAGCAGAAACTAAATAAATTAGTCACGGGAAATGACAGAAAATGAATACGCTGATGGATGGAAATGTGACTTTCATATACAGCTTAAAGATATATTCACAACAAATTTGATCTAATTGTCCTTCAAGTTGAGAAAATTATTAAACTAGCTAGCCCTGATCTTTTTAACTGTACATCAATCACTAACCACATATTTTAATTTTGCTTCCTGAATGTTCAATAACTGAAGTATCTTCTCTGTAGTATGTGAGCAAATTTATTATTATTAATATTAAAATGATTCAATTATTGAACAAATGAATACATAAGGTTTTAAAAGTTAATGTAAAAATAAAAGGCCATTAAATTCTTGTCTCTGATTCATTTTACATGAAAACAGAACTGTTTAAATATTATTTTTAGTTTGAAAAAAGTTTAATTCACAGTTGTATTATAGCAGTTATTTCGGTCCTCAAATTAAGCTACACAGTGCTTTCCTGTTCATGTTTGACTGAGTAAATTTTTGTGACCTGGTGATCACTTTAAGCCACACATCAAGTCCAAGGATCACGTGGACAAATGAGAAATACTCAGACACATTTGTACAATGAGCACGAGTTTCTCAACATACAGCCATGGTAGGTGGGTCTCACAGTTCAGGCACGATGAGATGTAAGAATGGAACATGATAGAGCTGCAGGATGAGTATTTGAACCACAAGGAAAAAGAAAGAAAAGCTCATCCACCTTGGAGACACTGTGCACCCTCACTGTCGAGGTGGTGGTGGTAGTTGGTGGTGGTGTCCCCATCTGGGAAAGAGGCACTGTGAGGAATTCTCCCACAATCATTCTGATAAAATGGACAATGCATAGCACCATCTTGAGGCAGTGGGTGGAAAGGCTGGTGCATGGGGCTCCTTCTCAGAGCTTTAAGGGATGAATTCCTCTCGGGAATGTCTGGCAGCAGCTCACTGATGAGGCGGTGCAAGATGCTGTTGTCAGGCAGACTTCCCCTTCTCTTCTCAGCTTTAATCTGGTCACAGATGTCTTTCAGGGCAGAGTCTAGAGCCTCAAACACAGATGCTTTACATGTTGTCTTTTCGGTCTGCTTTTTAGGTGTTGAGTTTCTTTTTCTCCGGAAAGGCACAGGACTGACAAGAAATGCCAGTTTGGAAAGGCCGGGGTCCATTTCTTGTCTTCTAGGCTCTTCAGCATTTTCCTGCTTAGCTCTTTCATGCTTCAGCATGGTGGTAAAGCGGGTATAAGAGGCAGGGCACCTGCCTTTGCAGGAGCTGATGAGGTGCCGGTGATGGTGGTGATGGTGGTGATGGTGATGATGATGGTGGCTGGATCCATAGAAACTCTCAGAGGAAGTGAAAGAAAAGTGATCAAAGTCACTTTCGCTGCAAAAAGACGAGCCTTCTACGTGAATATAGTCGCTGTGGTCAGACACAACTCCATCCTGGTCGCTGTCTGAGAATTCCACGTGGGGTCTCGGCTGCTCCTCACTGGTGACTTCGATGTGGATTGGCACCAGGGCTTTAGACTTGTAGCTTCGTGGCCCCTGAGAAGGATGTCTGCCCTGGTTTTCTTCCTCCAGCAAAGATTCAATGGAAAATCGCCTCTGGGGACCTAACCCGTTCTGCTGTGGTTCCAGGGTTAAAGGAGACAGCATCTCATCTCCCAGATTTGGCATAGATTTTGACTTCTGAATCAACTTCTCGAATTCAGAGATGCGGGTGGGTACCATGTCCCTGGGCACCTCCTCCGTGGAGGACTGGCTCCACCCGTGGAGCAGGCCCCTGTACTGCTGCTCCTTCTCGTACTGCAGGATCCTCGACTTCACAGAGCAGATCACCTCCGAGTTCATCAAGTCCTTGCGGTTAATGCGGTGCATTTTCTTGTACATTTTCAGGAAACCTGGGGTATCGTGCGCAGCCCTGTGTCTGAGCCTCGACCTGCCATTCCCGCGAGCCTCCTGAAGGTAGGGGGAAGCCCAGGGGATGGCGCCACTGTCTTTGGGGTCCTCCTCACAGAGCAGGGAGCCCATGCTCTCCGACTTGATTTTTTGGTCAGGCAAGCTATCGCAGTCATCGTTGAGCAGATCGTCGCAGCTCCGGGATTTGATCTTGGGGGACACCGTTTCCTCGGTGCTGCTCCAGATCTCCGCGTTTTGCCGGGCCATCTGCCAGCCATTCTTGAATGTGATGGCCCTTTGTGAGTCCCGCGGGACGTCCAAATGCTGTCTATAGGGGCTACAGTACTCTAACTCACTGGACGGGTTGCCGTCGAGCCCTGAGTAACTGCAAAGGGATGGACACAGTTTGCTATCGTCCCCACCTTTTAATCCAGAGCAGCGTGGTGGAAGAGAGACATTTGGAGAAGTTAAAAGGCTCACAGAGAGAGCAGAGCAGGTCAGTAAGCATCAGAAAGCACATCAAAGAGAAAGCAGTTAGTGTGGCTGAATCTAGGCACTGGCTGTTAATACAGGCAGCTTCAATTTTGGGAAGAAAAAGGACTATTACTAAAGCAAGATTATATTTCTCAAGACTTCGGCTTTGCACATGATAAAGCCAATAAAACCACATACAACATGTTATTGGGTTAACTAACACACCTCTTTGAATCACACGTCACACATCTTTCTGGCAAGACAGTGTACCATTAACATAGCAGTATTTACATTAATAGCCTGGCTTGGTAACCATCATGACTAATTAATGATTGATTAACAATCCACAGCAAAATTATTACTGATTTTGATCAACAGGGTCAGAATTTCAGTCTCCTTTGATTGATAATAACAGGTCAAGAGTAACCTACAAATTTACACTTAACTCTTTTGTAACTAAATCAAATATTTTTTCCATAGATACTAGATAAAAAAGCCATAAGACAAAATGCTTTCCAAAGTTGCAGAAGAAAACACTGTAAACCATTGCTACTTGTAGTTTTCCAATAAAAAATAACTAGTACCTCGTTAAACAAATTAGCTTGGCTCTTAACTTACTCTATGTTTACTCTCTTATCAGGATGACAGAATACATTGTATGCCTCTAGTAAGACAGCAAGATATTATGCTTTTCTCCTAGAAGGGTTTTTTAAAATCATTTGAAATTTGATAACAGAGTGCTAAACTTGATCTCAGTTTGTAATATCCACTGAAAATATCTTATTTTCCTTGAGGAGTTAACTATCAAAGAAGGGGCCAAATTATATCTAGGGTGACATTTTCTTTTTTCTTAACAATTTTTTCTTTTTTCTTAAACCAAGTGGAGCAAAATATCTGTACTGATAGCTCATGGTATCAGTAGAGATACAGTCATCTCTCAATTCTTCCAAAGCAGGCAGGCATGTCAGCAGACACGGAGTGCTCGGCACGGAAGCAGATTTAGCATTTCCTACAGTCAAACTGATATTTACATTTATCAGAATCCTTTTAACTTTGGGAGAGTATCCAAGTCAACAAATTAGTGGCATTTCCCAACTTACTGCCTTAAGTAATGTTCACCTGCATAAGTGAGTGGGCTTCAACAAAGGCTATAGTGGATGCGACTTACTCCCTCTGGACCATCCAGTCAATATTCATAGTTTTACCTTCCCCGAGGATGGATAGGCCTGTTGGGAACCCTGAATCCCAGCATTACAATCAGTCTGTCCTCTGCACACAAATGAACTACCACTGGGCATTATGTTTAATTTCTACCTTGGTTCCATCTGGTGAACCTCTTCTATTTTATGGAAACTTCTCTTACAGCTCATTTTCTTCACAGATTTGAAAATTGTTTTCTCTGCTGTTCCAGACCCAAGAGCCTGATGAGGACCACGGAGTCCTACAGCTGGTACAGGGCTGGGTCCCTGTGCATGGTGCTCAATCCCCACTTTCCAGCTTGGAGACATTCCTGGGCCAGGGGCAGTCAGGTACTAACTGATCTTTCAGAGACCAGAGAAGTGTCTTGCCCCCTCCCAACTGTGAGTTCAATAACATCCAAACACAAGATAGGTCATCTGGAAAAAAATGGTTTTATGATTTCTAAATTTTACGATAATGGCTTAGAAGCAGCTCTCACTAATGACTGTGAAGGATTAATCCCTGTGTTTCACATATGGTAGAATGTATGCTATCTGAAAGCAGACCCAAATATAGAGGAAAATAAATAAATGACTTTAACAGATACAATTTTATGTAGAATTAACTAATTTTTAAAAACACAAATTCGATGTATGTCTTAAGCAACAATTTCCTCTGTTGACACTTATAATTTCCAATCTGCTAGTTGTAATAACAGAAAACTTGACACTATGTAAGAGCTTATAACTATCATCTTCTAAAAGCCTGACCACAAATTGCTAGATACTTTGACTTCCTTAATAAAAAGAAATCTGCACATCCGTTGATCACTACTCACCTTTTGCTCTCGATGGGGAAGAAGGAGAGGAGCTGATGAAGGACTTGGTAAGCGTGATGCTTGATCCTGGAAGGTCTGCTCGACTGGGACTAGTCCTGTTTGCACTCTGATCCCCCAAGCCCCTCGGGGGGCCCACGGCAGGCTCGCTCTTCCTCCGTTTCCTAAAGTCACTTGCCATACTTGCAGAACTGAAAGAAGGAAACATCTTCATCAGTGTTCTAGAGCAGTTTCAGGCTTACAGCAAAATAGGAAAATGCAGGGTTGGTTTATTCTCACCCTTTCTTCTAGCACACAGGTTCCCCTATACTGACATCTATTGGTGCGTAAATTAGTTACAATGGAGAAATCTACCTGGACAAAGCATCACCCAAACTTGGTAGACAACATTAGGGTTTACGTTTTGGGTCATTCACTCTTTGTGTTCGGGAAGACATGTCATGACATGCACCATTGGTAATGTATCCCAGAGGACACCTGAACTTCCCTAATGGTCCTGCGTGTTCTTCTTCTTGTATCTTCCTCTTTTCTCTAACCCTGGAAAGCTACTCTTTTTTTTTTTTAAAACTGGCTCTATGGCTCTATACTTTTGCCTTTTCCAGCATGACATATTTAGAATCACATAGAATATAGCCTTTTCAGAATGATTTCTTTAATGCAATAAACACACACTTAAAAACCCCTTGGTGTCTTTTTGTTGTTTGAAAGCTCATTTAAAAAAAATAAATCACTGAATATCTCACTGCCTGGATGTACCATGGTTGATTTTTCCATCCTCCCAGCAAAGGGTATCTTGGTTGCTTCCAAGTTTCAGCAATTGTGGAACAAAGAAGCTAAAAATGCCCAGGCACAGAAGGCTATGTGAGTGTAAGTTTATAATCACCTTTTAATGTCAAAAGCCTAGAGCGAACAGGTTGTGATGACAATTCAGTGCTGTGATTTCTATCAAACATCTTAGCATACATAGAAGAGAATTCCAACAACATAAGTGGATCAAAAGGGGTTTGCTAAAATGAAGGAAAGTATTTGGGGAAATGTCAGAAGCTCATACAAATTTATCTCACCTCAGAATTTGCCTATAGTTTTGCCTAATAATAATCTTAGTTTTGGAAAATCTTGTGTCAGGGTGTTCTATTTGTCCTGGTAAGTGAACAAAGATTCTTTTCATCCAGTTGTGTTCAATGACAGATAGCTTTGAGCTTTATCATTTAAGATGAACAACAGTGAATGAGGAGAGCCATGTACTATGCACTATATCAGTGATCACTGTAAACAACAGTGATGGCAAGCAGAGGCAACATCACCAGCTCCCATGGAGTTCAGTGCTGTGCTACGTACTTTAGGCACAATTTTGTCTTATTTAGATTTCTCAGTAATTCAAGAGGTAGCCATTGTTATGACAGTTTTACAAGTGTGTAAACTGAACACATGTGCCCGGAAGTGCAGAAGCTCAATTTGCTGATGTGCTGTCTCCTACTTGTCTTTACATTCTGACTATCTGGTGACGTGAGGATCAGTGTGACTTTTACAGCAATGCTTAGGTCAGATTAAAACTCCAAAATGCAGATGTTTTACTTGTAAGCATAGATGCAAAAAGATAAAAATGGAAGGGCGGTAGCAGCTCCTTTCTGGCTGCTATTAATTCAGTTGGACAGCACGTGTGAATCCAATCTATGAAGGACTCAATACATCTTCTACTAAGACTGGCAGAAATCTGCGGAGAGGCAAATCATTATTATGGAAGCATCTGTTGTTGATAGTACGTTACGGCAGAGTTTGTATTATTCAGGGTTGCTGTGAGCTATGTCCTGAATGTTGGTCATAGTTTAAAGCGAGTGTGACAGGCAAAGCTTCCTAACAGAATTCACTTTGGGTGGACTTGTGGGCAGTTAGGACTAGTGCTTACAAGCTCTCTTGTTTTAATTTCATCTTGTGTGGCTCTTTGTCAGCTGTGAAAACTTGGCACCACTGAAGCCTAGATGTCAGTTTTTTCAGAAGTAAAGTGGGTTAACAGCACTGAGGACTGAGATGATTATGTATTTGGAATGCCAGATACATGGTTAAACCCTCATTCACTGGTGTTAGAAGTATTCGTGCTTTGTATGATCAGAGTATAATAAATAAATATTTGTGTAATGATTTTTAATTTCTAAAAAATTTCTGTATTATCATGAGTATCACCAATAACAGTGAAATTTAGTTATTTACAATCTCCATATAAAGAAAAGAAAGCTGGGGAGAGTGGAGACAAGGAAGGTGTTCGTTAATCCTTAATTAATTTAATTAATTTTCTAAACTGCATCAGAATGGTACTTAAAGTGTGTGACCCATAATCTTCATCAGCATTTCACAGAGTAGTGTTTCTATTTGACATGAAACAGTTGGGATGGACTACTCTGGCTGTACAATGTAACTTGGTCCTTACCTGCCAGGCCTTTCCAGGCTTCTGTCCATAGAGGACTGATACACGGAGGCCTATTGAGACAGAATAACAGGTTCATCAGAATCTTCACCAAGATGAAACTTTGCCTGTGAACGTTAGGTTAGTTATCTTCAGAAGAACATTATAAAAATTAAAATTCTAAGTACCATTGATGATGATCATCAAATACCTGTCCAAAGAGAAATCACGCCACCTGAGTTTTTGACTTTTTTTCCTTTTCTACTTTCTCTTCTGATACACAGTTTGAACTGTCCACAACGCAAGCATTCATTGTATTGGAAGAAGAGGACAAACCAACATTTCCTTAAGAATATAAAATGAAGAGTTAAATTATTCTACACGATTAATGCCAAACCCCTTCCTATTAACTATGAAGAAGTTTCCTACAAAAAAGAATGTGCTAATTTAAAAAAATGCTGTCAGTATTTAACCCTAAAAAAATAAACCTATTGTATGATTTCATCATTACTGGTGTCAGGTGTAATCTTCCAAATATAAACTGGACTTGTCTTTCAGTGCAGACATAATATTTTAATTAAGCCCATTAAACTAAATTATCTGGTACTTTAATCAGGTATAGATTGTATTCTTCAAACTGGAAGGTCAGAGTTGGAGTAAAATAAACAATCTAGTGAATCACAATACAACACTTTTTGAAAAAAAACATAAGAGATGTGGCCTTTAAACCTTTTCCTTCATTCTGAATAGCATACTGACATTGACATTATGTAAAAATAACATATAAGAGTTTTTTATTTTCCATGATCATCTATTGGGATAATTGTTGAAAATCTAAAAGGCAAGAGAGTATCAGTATTAAGTTCCTGGGTATTTGAGGTAACACTGCAAAATTAAAGTAGTTGTGATGTGATGTTTAGAATGTGTAGGAAAATGTACCTGCAGTTTTGGTTTTGTTCATATGAATTACTTCAGATAAACTCTGGTTTTCAGGAGGAAATGAAATTTCAGTTTGCAAATGTTCATCTAAGTGAAATTTTAAAATGTCAACCAGAAAGGCAAGATTTGACAAATTATATGCTCAGTTGTTATCACAGAAATATTTTAGCAGGGTATTAAAGAACTTAATGGAAATTAAGCCTTGCTTTACAAACCATCTGTATAGTTTTATTTTAGTGAACTGGTAAATTAATACCAATTAACCAATTAAAGCATTAGTACATAATTTTAAAAATTCCTGATGTAGATAAGTCTGAGAAACCCCTTTTGTACATAACTAAAACTGCTTATCTTAATGGATATTTTAGCTGAATTCTATGTTACTGAATGACAATGGAATTTTGCCCAAAAAGAAACAAAACCATCTCTCTGCACAGTAAAATACCCTCTCCTTTTAGAGACAAAAAGCATTCTAATATTGTAGCTCCTTGAAAATACATCTCCATGGTGTCAATGAATATAGAATTAGAGAAAAATTTGGTCTGTTAGTGTAATAAATTCATGTGATTCTTTCAACTTGCTGAACTTGGAATGGGACACTGGAAAAGTGGAAAAGTAAACACTAAATCAGAAAAATTAAACAAACAGTTCAGAAAAACCAAGCCAGATGGCTTCAGTAAAATTTAGAAATATCAATTCTACTTAGCTGTAGGAGAGCAAGCCCAGGAAGCACAGGGCATTGTCATCCATGTGGATCATGGCTTTCATGTGACAAGAAAACACAATTGATGACCGGAAGTGTTCATTCAGAGCACTCTTGGGACATCCCAGAGAAATCAGAAAGTTTGAGTTGCCAACTTATCAAGGGTCTAAATTATTTGTGATATGAGCAGAATATACCAGAAGAACTGATAAAACAGTCAAGTTTTGGAGTTAGACTAAGCAACTAGTTACTCTTTCTCTTGCTTGTTTCTATGTCAAATAAAACAAAATAGTTTTGGTTTTGTGTATATTCAGAGTAAGTTTAGTATTTAGTTATGAGGTAACAGTAAAAAGTGTATATACAAGAACAGAGGAAAACTTGTGCATAAATGTAGGAAGGGTATCATTTGAAGTGGAAATTGTCTTTAGGAAACAGATGGCACATTTTCATCTATCATAATCTACCTTTTACATACTTTTAACACATCTGGAAGGTCATTTTAGTAACATGCAGGTGCTCAATTACTCTTCTATTAGGTCATCATTTGATTAAATTTTGCTTTAAAATCTTGTTCTTCATATATATCTGCTTCAGACACACATATGTGTTTATATATATATGTATAGGAAATGACTTTCTCTACAGTGGGCAGGGGGAAAAGGTTTTGAATCTGAATTTGAATTCTTTTTGTCCCTTTCCCACACTTTGCCTATTTGAAATGGTGATTTATATTGCCTGGCACAATTGTGACATCCAGCTGCTTGTTATAAACACTCCTAGAGATTGCAGATGTACTTCATCTTATGAATTGGTGAGTCTGTTATGGCAGTACACTGGGAAATAGAGTTGAGAAAGATTAGTAGTGTCTGCAAAGGGTGCTGGGAGGTGTGACACATGCTGCTATTTGCCAGCCCTAACTTTATTGATATAAATCCATAAATTATAAACATTTATAAAGATGAAAATAAAGTTTAGGAATAATGAGTAACAGGCATCTAAACTCTTAGTCTGCACCTGTGAGCATAAAGCCAAAATGGCTTTGAAGTGCTTTCTAGCAGTGTTTTATTTAGTCTAGAGAAAAATAGGCAGTTGGGAGAGGAAGTTGTGGCACAGCAAGATTGGCTGCCACTTAGCCTACCTGCATTCCCTATCAGAGGACCGATTCTGCCGCCTGCTACTCTGTGTCTGTCCCAGCTTTCTGCTCAGGCACCTCTAGGCAGCAGATGGCTCAGATGCTTGAGTGCCAGACAACCATGTGGGAGACCTCGTCAGAGATTTTGGCTCCTGGCTTGATCCAGTGGCAGTGCTGGTGGTTGTGGCCGTTTGGTGAATGAACCAGAATGTGGAAACTCTCTCTGGTTTTTACTCTCTGTGTCATTCTGTCTTTCAAATAAGTTAATTATTCTTTAGGAAATTATCTAAAAGACCCAAGTGATTGACAGGTACATTAAAACTAATAATTCTGGTTAGCAGTTTGCACACTATGGAATAGCAGGACTATGGATAAACAATTTAACAAAAGTCATGATTGCAAAGCTTTGTCATCTGAAAGTAACAAATATAGCCAACAGCACCAACATAACTAATATCTAGGCAATGGTATTGGATACAACACAATGACACAAAGACAGATTTTTTGAAAATAGCTGGGACACTTGAGGGAACTGTAAAACATGGATATTGAGAGTCACAGGAACAGCCTCTAAGGGCAAAATCTGAAAAACAGAGAATAATTTGGTTTTACCTCATTGGAAACACCAGAAGAATGATCTTGAACATAATCCAGAGCCTTTTTAGGAGGCTGCAGCACATAAGCAGAGGTGTAGAGATGGAGTGGAGGAGAATCAATGGCAGCAAGGAATGGACATGTGGAAAAGGTGACAACAGTTAGAAACTGAGTGCCAACAGCATTGGGTACACATAAAGAATGACATGAACGGAGCATATGGGGGCAGCCTGGAGAAAGAGTGCATTGTTTGCAAACAGCCTCAAGCACTGGGCAATATTGCTAGTGTTCAATTAGTATATTTATAAATTCACGCCAACAAATCAAAATGAGCATTTCTAGTCCACAGACAAATGCAAGGTGTATTAAGGAGATATTAAAAGAGTAAGAAGATAGCATGCAGGTGAGTTTCCATGTACAGATGAAGATAATTATGGAAAGCGCTCATACTTTAGGCTCAGCACAGAAACTGGTATGTTCTTTCTGAACTTCCTAATCAGTGATACATAAAATAAAGCTAGAGAATATTTTTCTTCTGAAATAAGATATATTTATGTGAATACTAAGAAACAAACTAGAAAAGAGAGAGAGAACACTCCCTTTACTCAGAAATAAAAATTCTAGAAAAATTCTTCAGTTTATTTGTGTTTACAATCCCTTTTGATGTGGTTCAATAAAGGATAATGAACATATTTAGGTCTTTTGTGCATTTTAGTGGACAAAAAGGACTACCCAAACTACCCATTCAGAATCAGGCTATATGTATCTAACTTAGTACACAGATTTTGAAAGAAAGCTTGTACTCTCTCACTTTGAATAAAGACTGCTTCACAGTGTACGTGATACATTATTCAAGAGCTTAAAATTCACAAGACGTGTAACTGACACACATCCGATGTACTGCTATTGGCAGACATGATTCCTAAATAAAAACCTGAGTGAATGAAGAAGTCATTTAGAGCTTGAGTTGACTCTTTATCCCAGATAAACGAATTCCCACAGGGGCTAGTTCCTCTACTAAGAGTCTACAGATTGCAGACGTGGCTGTGGTCTTCAGTAGCAAGACTAGAAATGAAGGTCTACAGGGTTTCCTAATTTTGTCCTTCTCTTGTATCTCTGATGGTAAACGGGACATTCATACAGCAGAAATATTCTGGCAGTATATTAAGAGTGAAATTTTCTTTTTGAAAACAAGCCTAAGCTTAACTTCTGACTGTGTCACTGGGCAAATTACACAAGCCTTCTAGTGCTCATGTTTGCTGGCGTGCTTTATTTTCTGTTGGATGACTTCGCGCAGGTCAAGTACAGTTCCCTATTCTTTTCTCTGACTCCTTAGCAAATGGGAACTAGGGCAACATTCTTTATATCAACGTGCTCCTGAGTTTGAACTGGAACAAAAGGGACTGTAAGCAGACACAAACACTCTGAGAAGTTGGAATCACTGAATATTCCAGGAAAGAAGCTACCGCAATGTGTTAGGTTTGCAATTAATTAGATGTTAAGTAATTCTAACGCATGATTTGGAGGGGGGAGGAAAACCAATAGGAGGTGCCTGAGCATGGTTAATCATTCGGTAGAGAAGGGCGCGTGCACTAAACCTCTCAGACCCCATCCAGCTTCTGTTCTTTAAGTAGCACCTAGCTCGCCTAACAATGGTATGTTTAATCAATCAAACAACATTCTCCTACGGTTCTTGTATGAACAGTCTAGCCTCACTTACCGGGCGTCCAAACTCCAGTTCTGAAAAGAATTTATACCAGGGCTCATTTTCTAAATCTATGTCATCTGGAGTTATGCGATCAGTCTAGAGCAGATGTGAAGGAAAAGGGAAGGAAAAGGCACACTGAGCCAAGTGAGGGAAATGCCCTGTGGTATGAAAAACACGCGCGCACTCGCACGTAGACATGCATCACTCAGGTCCGAACAACCTAGGCAGGAGGGAAGGCAGGAGGGCAAACACAGGGCCCAGAGATGCACTTACGGGGTACCCTTAGGCCCTTACTTCTGTCCTCTGTCCACCCTTCCTAAGGCTCACCCTAGCTCATTGCTCTATGTTGCTGAATGATGGGCTCGGAGAGTGCACCAGAGAATCGGGATGGGCGCCGTTCAGGCACCATGTGGCTCTTCCTCCAGTGTAGCTTTGAGGTCCCAGCACACGAGGGTGTAATCTGTAGATCAATGCTGGCATGCATGCGGCTGGGGATGGGAGTGTCTACACAGCGAGGAACTAGGGTGGGAGGAATGAGGACAGCTTCGGAGTTGTGGAGCGGAGTGAAGGGTGCTGGAGAGCAGGGGAGTTGGGAAGGGTTATTTGGCACCGAGCTTCGGGGGGGGGGGGCAGATGGCAACAGACATAGCCGGGCAGAGCTGGGGAGTAACCAGCTTCTGCTCTTGCCCGCTGGACCCGTGGAGCACAGGGAAGAGCCCTGGAACTTCCTGACGGGAATGAGAAAAGTCAAAGAAGGCAGGAGCTCACCCGGGTGGGAGAGAGAGCTGGGGCACACGAGCTGGGTGTGGGGAGGCCACTCCTGGGCGGCGGGGAGGGGCTCCCAGCCACTGCTTCCATTGGTGAACTAGAGACAGGCTTCCGGCCAGGTTTCTTGGGAACAGGTGTCGGAGTTGTTGGGAGAGGGGGCTGGAAGAGAGAGGGGTGGGGCAGAAACTGATGCGTCAGCGGCAGGCTCTTGTTCTAGCCAACCCGACCACAGCTACTGGAGCCCTGGCTGGTGGGAGAAGGCGAGATGTCAGAGCCCGGAGACCCTGGAAGCATCTGGACTACCACTGAGATCTGAAGCTCAGAGGCCCCTCGGAAGGTGAACAAGGATCACATCTTCAGGGATGTCCCAAAGTTGATGGTCCTTCCAATTAATCTGAGCTATGGAAAGAGATTTGAGTGCAGAGAGGATTTGCTTAATTATCGTAGATGGTGATGGGTAGGGGCAGGGAAGGATACAGAGTTTTCCAAATGAGACTGTAGATGGAAGGTAGGCAAAATCCCACCTTGTTTTCCTTGACACAGTAATTTAGAGAAAAAGTCCAATTTTATGATTGTCTTGCCCCCTTCTAGTAGTTTCTCAATGTTATATTTAAGATGCAACAACTAGATTGTTTGTAAAAACATTTTGAGAAAATATATATGCGTACTTCATCCTATAAAACAGAAACAAACCAATTTAATTTATCCAGCAATATTCGAAATATTTTTCAATAATATATATCTGATTCCATTGATACAGGCTGTTGATTTTATGTGAAAACTGGAAACTGACATTGCTTCGTTGATAATTATCACACAATGCTAATTAAATATGGTACAACTAAACTGTACAGTACTGTAAGTTGGACATAAGTAAAAGAAAGTTCTAAGAAAAATGAGTTTTCTTAAAAATCATTCACCTTGGCCATGAGAGGAGCTGGGACTCCCAGATATTTTGTAGGAGGGCTAATATTAAGTGTTCACTTCCTCAAAGCAATCCCATATTATTTCCTTCGAATTCTTGAGGGCAATAAATGTTGTCCACTGAGTAGAAGCGTCTTAATTCTGAAGGAAATGCACTACAACCTTTGCCATCTTGGGAGTTTGAGAACAAAGGCCACTACTTCAACAAGGGCGACCTCTAGTGTTTTATTGAGTGGTTGCTTTTACAACAGTTTTGTGAGTGATAGCCTGTCTAATAATAAATTATACCCAAAGTGTTTCGGTTATTTGGGCTTATTTCTACATTTTATAATAAAATATTAACAATAGCAGTGATAAAAATGTTTGAGGCATCATAGCGGATCCAAAATGCATAGTGACTGCAATCATTAAGACTGTAGAAACCCTGGAAAACGCTTATGATGAAATATTAAGTGAGAAAACCAGAATACATCCATGTACTTGTGCAACACTTGGAGGTATTTCAAAGCTTGAATCTGGATGAGCACAATTAACAAACCTAGAAATGTGTTCTTATATTGTGACTTTTCTTTCTTTTAAGTATTATTTTGCTCAATTTTCATAATGTAATTTTAGCAAATAAACAAAATCCAGAGAACACATATGATTAGGTATGGGAAAATGTCGCAGGAAGCTTGAGATAGTTGGTTTACATTTCAGTAATAGCAATGAAATAAAAAAAAAAGAAAATATCCTAGGGTCTGGCATGATGGCTTAATGGCTAAATCTTCATGTGGTAAGCTCCAAGATCTTATATGGGTGCCACTTTGTGTCCCAACTACTCCACTTCCCTTCTAGCTCCTTGCTTGTGGCCTGGGCAAGCTGTTGAGGACGGCCCCAAGCCTTGGGACCCTCTACCAGCATGGGAGACCCAGAAGAATCTCCTGACTCCTTGATTCAGATCCGCTCAGCTCTGACTGTTGCAGAGTGAACTAGCAGATGGAAGATCTTTCTCTCTGTCTCTCTCTCCATAAATCTGATCTGTCTTTCCAATAAAAAATAAATAAATCTTTTTTTAAAAAGAAAATATTCTATCAGTTAATTTGCTGTTTCTTGGTCTAATTTAAAATTAGACATTAGAGAGAATGTCTCAGTAATTTTTCTTGTGTTTCTAGCGAGTACTATTTTTCCCACAGAAAACTCACATGTGGCTTTTTCGAACATTTTAGTTTCTGATAGTATGCATTTAATGATATTCATCAATTCTTAATTTGTGTAAAGTCTGCTTTCAAGTGCAGCATTTATTTTGCTAAAGGGAGAAACTTCTCATGAAATAAATTTGCTTAGAAATGAACAGAAGAGGGCAGCAAATTTACCTGCGACTATATTTATTAGCTATTATAAAGTCAGTATGACTGCTACCTTGAGAAAAATGTATAGCAAGTGTATCTACTAGGTGCTAATTTACAGAAATATAATTCTATGAAACACAGACAATCACAGACTGGGTGTATCCCACTAATTATGCTTTTGTTGATTAAAAATTCAACTTATGGTCACAATGGGCAACTATCTAGAACTCATGCCAATGTGCATTTGTGGAGAAAACATCCTAAACAATTATTTCTGGTCACTATCTGTAACTCTGGTGTGTATGAAGAGCATATGCTTCAATTGTTGTTAAATAAATTACAGGTGGCAAAACTGGAATTTTCTCTTTGCTGTGGTTGACCTGTTGAATACCTTTTATCCTACAACAATGAAAGGTATTATGAAGCAGCCCAGAGTCACTGCTAAAGTACACAAAAGCCTTGGAAGAGTTCATGTTGGCCAGCCAACAGACAAATCAGCATACTGACAAGCCCACTGTTGCCACGCACAACACGGAAGTTCCTTTGAGTTCAGCCTGAATATGAACACTCAGAACTCATTTAGGAAACGTGACCATGCTTTTGTCTAATTGCTCAAAACAGGCAGAAGAGGAGGAGGTTTCTGCCTACCACTGCCCACCCACTGCTGCTTTATTCCTAATGGTACAGGATGCTGGGTTGAAGTCAGGATTGATTAAAATGAAAGGTAACAGACCGATCCTATAATAAAGAAACCTTAAAATTAGCTATATAACTGCATCAAATCATTTTGCAGAAGGCTGGTTCTCAGCAAAATTGTTTAGGAGAGATGCAAGTTTGGGTTCTTTCTATTCCTTCATAAAATGTTTATTTTCATTCCTTTCCTACTTGCTAGGAAGCTTCCCTGTGGCCATGGGAATCTATCCATATACACATTTCTGGTGACATCCATGACTCCTGTCCGTACATTAACTGATAGACTTGAAGTTCATGGACTGTCCTATTCATCATCGTGTCCCTAACACCTAACAGAGAGTCTGGCACCTACTCCATTTTGCTAAATGAGGAAATAATGTACATATACTGATGGGGAAGCTGTGATCAATTCTGTCTCTTGCCATCACAGGTACAAAAGCATTTCAATATAATTACAATGCTCATTATCTTAAAAATCTCATAAATTATCTAGAGTGATCAGTAAAGGCTTCCTATTTACATTTAAATCTGAGATTTCTTAGTTGCTATTTTCAGGTTTGTGCAGTGGCAATATTGTAGCTCTCTCAATTCTCATCTTGGAAATGTCAAAATATACTATTTGACCAGACAGCCCAGTAATGGGTTATATGTAAACCAGCAATGGAGGCTGCAAACCAGTGATAGGTATTTCTCTTTTTCCTCTAAGTTTCTCAGTTGAAATCCTTTTACTGTAAATACATGAGTTATTTGAAGAAAAGCAAAGAAGGCTCAGAGAAACATATCCGGATTATGTGATTATATGGTTTTTGAGCATGTTTCTCAAACACAACCATAAATACAGGGTTTCAAAAACCAAATCAAGGCCATGAATGTGTTGGGTGTGGTGGAATAATGGTTTCCAGTCAAATTTCAGGCTTTATGTAAACTATGAGAGGATTTCAAAAAGGCTATGAATGGTTGAATTAAAAGTTAAGTTTATTTTGGCACAAAAATGTTGAACATCTATGCATACCTTACTTATAATATGCACTTACACGATTTTTAAAGACCTCTCATAGCATAATTTCTTGGAGACTATTCACTGACATCTAAAATTCATGTAAGGCAAGCAGGAAAGTAAGGTGCATGGATAGAAAATGTTTTTCTAGATGCAGATGTGGAGATCCAGAGGAGTGTAGAGTTTGAGATCCTAAGGACAATGTTCCTTGAGGGGAAAGATAGGACCAAGGAAGAACCTGCTGCTTAACTTTGAGAAGGCACTCAGGTTTTTTTTCCGCCCAATTTTATGTATCTTTTAGTTTGCATATGCTTAAAGCAAATATACTGCACAGTGAAATATTATCTTAATCCGTTAGAATGACAGGCAATCAGGAGGCTTGAGGTTTGGTAACTTGAGAAGATTCAATGACAGTTAATTTTAAGGGCATTCAGAAAAAAAATTCTCCCTATGTGAAAGAAATATTAAGAAACCAATATGAAAGTCAAAGGATGGAATTGAATCTATGTGAATTGGGAGATTGATGAATGGCACTCTGAATGGGCAATCCAGAATATCAACTAAGCTACATTTGTGATTAAAAAAAAAAAAATTGAACTCAGGTCCATGATTAGGCACAGCTATAGCTATGTGTGATGAATCATATGTGTATATATCTGGTTGGTGGGAACAATATATAACAGTGCAACCTTCAGTTTTGAAACAAGATGCACACCTAACCATACAAAATTTATAGGCAGTCTAAATAATGCCAAGTACATAAATAGCCTTTCTTGTGACAAGACATGGGCAAATGCTATGAAATTCAGGTTTGTTTGGGAGTCCTGGAAACCTGCTGTGCTGTCATTCTGTTTAATAACAAAGTGCTTACTGGTCTTTCATGTTGCAGAATCGATGACTTCCCGGGTTCATATTCAAAAATACTCCTTGGTTCAGATCGGAATTTCCTTGTGTCCACTTTTCTGTCTGGAGGATCCCAATCATGCCTAGAAATGCACAACAGATCACATGTTAACATAATTCTATGTACTTTAAGCTGCTGTGTAAAACCACACACTATCTGTTTGCAAAGTTAATGTCAGTACAGTTTTGAAAAACCTTTTGGAATAAGATGTCAGTGTATGACGACCATCACAGTTATAGTTTATTCTACCAAAATGACTCAAAGAAACACATTAGGATTATTTCATGTATCGTTTTGGCATTTCTAAAGACTATCTTCCTGCTGTCTCAACAGTTCACACAAGGGGATTATAGACATGCAATGACCTGTTCATCAAACCTGTGGGTCACTCAGGGCAGGATGTATGTTTGTGTTTAAAGTGACTGGCAGGTTGCTCCTGGGAAGTTCTGTGAGCTCAGCCCCCATTCTTGTGACCTGGTATCCTAGATCCAAAGTGACAAAGAGTCATGCACACAGCATGTTTCATCTTTTTTCTTATAAAATAAATAAATAAAAAAGCTTGTCTGCAAGAAGTGCCACAATATCACTTCATCTTGCATTTTGTAGGAGCCAGCTGTGTGGCTGGGGAGAGCCTCTTTTGGTGTTAGCTTGAGAAAACCAGAGTCTAACATCTTTCTCACTGGAGTCAGCTCTACCTCGTATCATGTAAGATGCTGCCAAAGAAGCACTTGGATTGTAAAGCTCTGTAGAAGAACTTAACCAAGTCAGACACCTCCAGTCAGCTGGAGCGGAGGAGGAAGGCGCTGTTTTGGGGCGGGGAGAGGTTGTTCATTATCTGTGAGGAACAAGTTTCTGACCTATATAACCAGGTTAAATCTGAATATTAGTCATATCAATTGATGAAGTTACTCCAATTTTCTAAACCACAATTTCCTTCTCTTTTGAAACATGGCACATCTCCTTGGTTAGTTCTCAGAATCAGATGATATAATAAAGAGCTTAACTATCAGGGAAGTTTCAATAAAGGTTATTTTTTAGTAGTAGTGTTAGTAATAATCCTAACTAATAATTCAAATATACTCATAAATTTTTATTTAGTGGAAATAATTTCCATACAAATATTTCAAGGGAAAAATTTAAATTTGCATCAGCTCAGAAAAGCGGTAAAAATGAGTCACAGAAGGGCACATTAACTAATGCTTTATTTATTCTTTATGAATAATATTCTTTGCTTTCAGAAAGTTATTTTATTAATAGACCTAACATTGTAAATCTGATGAAGCTTAGATGACTGCATAGTCTCTAACCTGTCACATGAAGGGAAGAAATTGTCTATTTCAATGAAGAAAAATAGAATAAGAAAGCTAAGCCCTTTCTGTTGTAACACATTCTTTGAAATTCAGTTCTATCATTTCTTGGCCGTTTGGCTAAGGTCAAGTGAGATTTGGTTTCATAATTTTTTTCATAGGAAACATCTTCCATGACCCAGTAAGACTGTATATCTCTATTTACCCTGTGTCTAGTCTGTCAATGGATTCTGTCAATCCACTGATGGCCAGGTACCCTTATTTTTTGTCCTTGGCTACCCACAGGCCTGAGTTTGGGGCAAATGCCTTACTTTTCCGTGGAAGGTCTATCTCTGGGCCGCAGCGGTGGGACTGGAGGTGGGGGAGGCACTGGAGAGGATGAGTCCTTGAAGACTTCTGTGCCATTGTCGGAGTGGCTTTTGGACAGAGGTCTGTAGGTTTGTGTCTTCACAGCAGGGTGTGACTGTGTACTGTAGGCTTGGTTATACACACCTAGCATGACCAAAACAGAAACAAACAAAAAATAGGTGGAAAAATGAGTTCAATCATTTGTATCTCTCAAAATAGCCTGTGATTTTGCCAAAACTATTGTCTACATATATGTTTATAATATAAACATTAGATGGTATGTTCTTTATTAATTTATTAATATTATTAATAAATGATCATTACTGTTATTAGTGAATTGATTCTGGTAACAAGCAGTGATTACAGTAAATCATCAGTTTATTCTGGAGTTAGTAATAATACAGATTGGTATACAGACTGGCACTAAATATGTACTTATAAGTACTCAACAAATTTCCATGTTGATGAAATTAATAATATGGTCAACACTTCAGAAAAAGCAAAGATGTTTAAAATTATGTCCAAATATCTTTTAGTACTATAGTAGTACTTAGTAGTATATATATATAGTACTAAGGTTTATATATATAGTACTATATGTTATATTAGTACTATATACTATACTTAGTACTATATATGTGTATATATATATATATATATATATATATATATATATATTGCAAGGCACGAGGGGCCAAAAATCCTCAACAAGCTTATAATTCATCTGAGAGAATGAGACATAAGCAGAATTATGATAAGATGTCATTAGCAACATTTCATACAGATCACGTGAAAATATGCATTATGAATGCACACGATTGTAGATGATGGCAGTGGTGGATTGGCCAGAGCAGATATTGTGGTACCTGGGAGATTAGCGTTGACCATGAAGGATCAGTTTGGGTAAAGGATAGAGGAGGAGGGTAGTAAGGAGAGCATAGACAAAAAGGGGTAGAAAAACTCAAGACATAAAGCAATGAGTTGTTAAATTAGTAGAAAGGAAAGAAACTACTTATGAATTCTCTATCTAAATGATAAAATACATAGGACTTTACATGATATTTTGTGGCTGATTCTATTTACTAGTTACTCATGTGACAGGAATTTTGATATTATAACAATTACAAATTTTCACAATTGGGGTGTTTGGGCATAGCAGCGATGACTCCACTTGGGACATCTTCATCACTTGTTGTGGAGTGCTTGGGTTTGAGTGCTTACTTCACTTCCAGTTCCAGCTTCCTGCTGATATTCATCCTGGCAGGCACCAGGCTCAAGCATGTGGGTCCCTAACATTCATGTGGGAGATTCAGATTCTGTTCCAGCTCTTGGCCCAGTCCTGATTTGCAAGTAGATGGCAGACACTTTCCTGCCTGTCTCTCTCTCCCCATTTTCCCAGTATTTTAACCTTTTGAATAAATTGTATCTGTGCTCATCTTCATCTCCGAAAAGTCCTGTGCTAATTTTTAGGTGTCTCTCAATTACACAGCCACGCTGCCAAGGAGACTTCCAAGTGAAGGCACAGATACTGAATGGGTGAGGCATGATGATCTGAGCCTATGAGTTTGCTTCAAATAAAGGAGAATTTAAAAGAGAAAAAGCAATTGCGTACAAATTCTGAGTTGGAGGCTGGGCAGTAAGAAGAGGTCATGGTGAAATTCCCTGAAGCAACATAGAGGAGAATGTGGTAAAGGGTAACTGCTTTAGGGACCTCTCACTCCAGCTTGCAAGCCACTTCACAAGGCATCAATGCACTCCAGTACAAGTGGAAATGCCTGGGGCTGAAGTCACTTCTTGGTGACCATTGGCAACTCTGAGTCCGAAAAGTGGCCCAGACAAATTAGATTTTTAAAATCTTTCAATGAATGGTTGCTTTTTTGGAGTGAAACCACGGGCAAGGTCACAAAACACTTTGCTTGACTTGTTTTTTTGTGAGATATCTGAAAGATCTAATGCAAGCAATTGTAATCACTTTCTGTGCTGATAAAAGAAGATCTTTATCTTATTTTGTACTGGGGGTTACAGTATGTTCTTTCATGCTGTCCTTCACACTTTAGTTAAACATTCCTGAAGCTGGGAATAAGCTAACAGTGGGAATGAATTAGACAAAACAGTATTAGTCCACATTTCCATGAGAAAAGATCAGTCCTTTTGTTATGCATGCTTTGAGAGAAGAAAAAGCATTCTGCTAATTATATAAACTGAAAAATGTGCGCTCAAATAGAGTGATTAGAAAAAAAAAAGAGGAATAGTGTTCTTCCAAACATGCCTGGGAATAAAATATTCCAAGGAAACCCATCCTACCTGCATTATAGGTATAAGGAGTATTATACATGTCTGTGTCATCATCTAGAAAACGAAACATAAATATTACAGTAATATAGATTTGGCCACCACATCATAATAAGACAGCAGAAACCTGTTAGAAAAGCAATATCATTTTCCCAGTTAATGATATCAATCTTTATTTTTAAATATTGCTTTGGGTTAAGTATCTCCAGAACAACATTTTTTTCTTTTTTTTTTTGCATGAAGTTACTTAAAAGTTCATGAAAAGAATAAATTGAAAGACAAGCTTATTTTGCTGCAATGTTTTGATATTCATGCAGTTTTTTCATATTCTGCTTTTACTGTGACTGTTGAAGACTTTTGGATTTGGGTCTTGCTCCCTCTGCAGCACGCAAATTTGGTCACTGTTCATTTTCCCATGCAGTTCTCTCTTTGGAATCATGAGCTTTCTTTACACACCTAAGTGCTTTACACACCTCTTGCCAACTGCTCCCAGAAAGCTCTCAGACCTACCAACACTCTTGGGAGCAGACAGGGGCAGACTGCTCAGTGTTTAAGCAGAGGACACGCTGGATTAGAGCATGGGTAAGGATGGATGGAAGGATAAGATCAAAACACCTGGCAGTTCTCCCAGTGGCTCCTCCAAGGGCAGCCAGGAGTGAGACAGAGACACAGAAATTTGTGAGGAGCCACAAAAGGAGAATAAGGAGGAATGTTGTAAAGAATAGGGCACATGTATATACTGGGGTTTTCTTCATTTTGTGAACAAAACACCACAAACGAGGAGTAACTATTTTCCAATCTACAAAGCCCTAATCAAAACACAGAAGTACATACGTACCTGGCTTATGCACCATGTGGATCTGCTTAAACATGGTCTTGTACCAGTCCTTTGGCCGGTCTACAGTCTACAAAAAAGAATGCTTCATAGTTAGTTACAAAACTGGTGGTAAACCAATGCATTGCTCCTCAAGGTGTTGGTCTGTATATTTTATCGTTTAAATAACAGATTTTCATTTTGTGATGAAATCTTCTGACTCTCAACTCTGATGACAATCTTTGCAGTTTGTTAATTTCTCTGTGTGGGTTGTGAATTTCTTACTCCACATTTGAGTTCAGGTTTGGACATTTGATATTATGGTTTTATTTTTACAAACCATAGCTGTGCCCAGAATTAGATGATTGGTATTTGCATAGATACATTGTATAAAATGCACTGAGTAAAAGTGGTTGTCATAATTTATTTAATTCCTTTTGGTGAAAATTATCATTATCCTTAAAATCTTTTTTTACTGCATGTCTGTCAACATTATTTTTAGAATAACTAGGGGATATTTTTTATTCAAGCTGTACTCTGATCTACCAAGGTTCAGAGACTGAAATTTGATATTCATTAGTTAAATTGGTCAAATGCTGAATGCAGTGGACAGTCCAGAATCCCAGAGAAAAAATAAACTTGTGGTATTGGTTTGAAAATTTTAGATACATGGCTGTAGAGCACATATGGAACATTTGACTTGCTAAATTATAAGTTCTTTGAGAGAAGTGCTGAGTTCTCCTGCTTTGGACATAATAGAAATAGTCAGCTGCAGTGGAAAGATGAAATGAATGTTTAATCTTGAATCATGAGTCAAAGGTTAACTCCTTTAGTTTTTATTTCATACTTCCCAGCACTATAAATTTGGACAAGTTTGTGCAACCTTTTCGAGCCTCGGTTTTCTGTTCTTTAAATTGAAATATCGCCAGCAGCATCATAAGATGGTTATGGAAACGGAATGAGACAATGTGTACAGAAAAGCTTAGAAAGAGTGCCCAAAATAGTAGAAATGCTATCATAAATATTAACAGAAAATTTCAAATATTTGGGAATAAAATAATGAATCTAATTTATTGGATGAAGCATAACAATACACCAGTAAAAATACATCCTTCATTAACATAATTAAAGATTTTGCAAGGCAAGATCAGTATTCCAATTATTTCAGCGCTATCTGGTCAAGAAACTTGACCATTCTGTGTATAACAACTACATACAGCTGAATTTCTAACACAAATTTCGTAATCTAAAACAGGATTTCTACAAAACATTCTGGCACTTGTTGCCCTGAGATTTGGTTAAGCTTCGATACCATAATTTTGTTTTCAGAAATGTGGTCATTATATTGTTCATTTGAAAACTTCTGAATGTACATTTATTTTCATCTCTGAGTGTTAACATTTTCATTATAGATTCACATTAAAGGCGACTTTGTTGTGAATTACCTCTGCAATCTAAGCTTTCTTTTCAATGGAAAAATCGAGGAAATTATTAGTCGGGTATACAATCAATGATGGGAACGAGCAGGAAGGAGTGCAGTGATGAAGTAAGACTATTTGCTAAGTCAAGGTAGCTGAGCATGTATCTTTAAGGCACATACAATTTGACAAAATATCAATTTCTCTTGGATGAGGCTTCATTTCTTTTACAGTTCGAAAGCAAAAGATCATGATACATGAGAGTGCAAAAGTATTTTCCAGCCAAACCTGGACACAACCAATGCCTACCAGGAAGTCCAGTGAGTAAACTCTATCCCTGTATATGGCAATGCATCTTGACAGACAGGTTTTTTTCTTCAGTTGCTTAGGGCCTATATCAGGCAAGATCTCAGAGTTATGCCATTTGCTAGCTTTATATGGGGAGCACAGAGATGCCAGGGAATGCCCCGTCTATTGGCAAAAGGGAACCTGAGACTGGTAAAATGGGAATGCTGAAACTCCATGTCCTTTTCTAAAAGAAGTAGGCACTAGAAGTTCTTTTTATAAATGCCATCAGGGAGACTGCTATGCATAACATTGAGATTGAGAAAACAGCAATTGACTCAAAGTTGAGGGACTTTATTTCCACCTGTGTCCTTCTGGTCATCTCACACAGACAATAGCTACCAGCACTTCGCAACACCATTGCCTTCCATGTAATTAGCTATATGTGAAAGAGAAAAGAATTTGTATTTCACTTAAGCAGCTGGCCTTAATCACATGATCTTGTGGACACAGTGAGTTTTGTTGTTGTTTTGAAGAATGGCCCTAAAAGGCTAATGCAGATAACCCAGGTCACACAAGAACCACTTCCTTTCATGCCAGTCATTCAGAAAGTCATGTTTATTGATTCATGACTTTCCAGGCTTTTTTTTTAAACAAAATCCTGTTTCTTAACATGCGTTGGTTGTCTGCAAGTATACTATGTCTCCAGTACACCTAAGCAGTACTGCCCTTTGCTTATCCACTAAACAGAAAGCTAAAGGGAAGCTTTTGGAGTCTGCCGGCTGAGAAAGGAAAACATTCTTGGCCGGTCGTGGCTCTGAGTGGCCTCATTCCACATGTATAAACACGGCTATACTTGGGGATGTGCTATGCAGGGCTGCAGAAAAGTCCATGGGAGCTAGCGGAGCCTGCACAGACCTGTACCTTCTTTGTAAAGCTTGAAAGGCCTAGGTCAGAACTGCACAGATTACGGTTCCTTATAAGGAACTGCCAGATTGCTTATATTTTCTATTTTATGGAAGCAAAATTAGCACAAAATGTTTAGTGTATGTGTTTGCTGATACATATCTGAGCAAGCTTTTTCTTTGGCAGTAGATGGATTAACAATGTTAGATATCTATTCTAGCTTTCCTTAACTGGCTCCAGCCAGTTTCAGATTTTCAGATGTTTTTATTAAACACCAAGGAAGCAAACAGTTATTATTTAATGACAATTATGCGCCGTGGATAAAAATCAATGAAAAAGGTTTGCATACTTCCTTTAACGTGTCAGTTATTGATTTAAAAACACTCCACCAGGTTTCTAATAAAAACCTTTTAGACAGAATCTGTACTACATAGAGTCTGGGGTGTTTTCATTGGTCAATATATCATACCCAGGGGTCCATAGGCAGAGCTATTGACCTCATACCTGTATGAGAGTCTATCTCCACATAATTAAGAAAAGGATTCAAACTAAGCCAGGTTATAGTTAGAAATCCTAAAAGAGAAACAAACACCAACAGCACCATCACCAGAAACATGTAATGATCACAAGATTAAGAACCTTAGTCACAGACCTGGAAATACAGTCATGTATTCCCACACAGGTTTGTGGGACTTTGTATAATTAGTTACCTTCAACACCCCTCCCCCCAACAGCAATTGCTTCATTGATCTCTTTGGTTTTCAATTTTATTACAGAAGCTTAGACTAATCAATGTTTACTTATTCTCTTAAAAAACAAAACACATAATCCCTTATAATCCCATATAATAATCGTAAATCAGGGAGAGAAAAAACCCTCATACTTCAATGCTAGTCTCACCCTTGCTTTTTGCCCTGGTATCTTTGCCCCTGGCTGCACCACAGGTTTTTTTTTTTTTTTTTTTTTTTTTTTTTTTTTTTTTTTTTTTGTGGGTGTTCCGGGCCAAGGTTATGCGGCTGGAGCTCCCCTCATGCACCACCCCCAAGTTTCACCTGCAAAGGTGCCGCGGCTCTCATCCTGGTTTGCTCAGCTTTCCGTGTCCGACTAGCACACACCTCCGCTGCTACTACACTGGGTCAGCAAGCCGCAGTCTGCTCAGCTCAGACTGCCTCTGTCACTGCTGAGCTTGGCCAGAAGGGGCTGCCCCGGCACACAGAGCTATGCTTTGGCAGAGTTTAAAAAAAAAAAAAAAGCAACCACTTTCACTTATCATCCCAAGAGAGCTTCTCAGCAGGCACAGCTGAGGACAGGCCATTAAAATGTGTATTTTTCTTCAGACAATTTTTCCTTTCCATGACATTCACTCTCTTCACTCCAAATCATCTCGCCTCCCAACACTCAATTCACAGCTCAATCTGCCAGTGTTAGCACATCCATTTCCAGAAGCAAATCGCAGTTTTATTGGCAGAGCTCAAGGGAATTCCATGAAGCCAAAGAATTCACATTTTTCTGGTTCCTTCTCTCTCCAATGACCCTATCCCTTCTTGGTAAGAGGTAAAAACAGTGCCACCCAACTGAGGAACATCCTTTGACACCCTTATAAGGATCCTGACTTTTCTTTCAAACGGAAAACACAAAGTGTCTATGGCTTTCTCTGCCTCAACACAGCACGATATTCATGAGGGCTCAGTCGCCACAGAGGGCAATCCTCATTATATAAGACTCTAGGAATGTACAAAGCCATGGACAATCCGTCCTTTGTCGAGTCTGTGCGCAGAGCCAGAGACGCACACGCAGGCGTTTCCTACCGTTCTGATTGCTGTGGGGATTCCGGACTCATCCACGGGCCCGATCCCTGGGTAATGCGGGGCTTTGATGACCGTCACCCTCTTCTCTTCCTCCGACGATCTGTACAGAGGAATGGAGCTGCCGCCCGGGCCGTCCAGAGACTGTGCGGGCTGCGGGTACGGCTCTGTGGAGTCTGTGGAGAAAAGTTGGTGAAATGTGATATGCAGTTGCAAGGAATCACGAACGCATGATGCTTCTCCTGTATTTACACCAACTATATAACACAGAGTATCTATTTCTGATTCCTGCTGATTCCAGCTTCTGGCTAATGCAGACTGTGGGAGGCAGAGAGATGGGATCCTGTCACCCACGTGGGAGGCCAGATTGCGTTCTGCCTGCTCTGTTTGGGGCATTTGGAGAGGAAGCCTGAGGATGGGAGATCTCTCTAACAAGTAAGTATAAATAAAAAATGAAAAAGAATCCATATTCACATAATTGTCTCTTACTTCGTTTACCTTACACTTGGTTCCCTCATTGTTTAGTGTACAAAGTGTAGCTGTATACTGAACACACTTGCAACAATAAGCGCCTCAGCATTTCTGAAAAGGGGTGAGGGAAAGAACATTTGTTGAGTGTACAGTACTCGTTGCGTTTAACAAGCACGTTACATGCACTGACTCATCTTTTCTTCCAGGAGTACGTGGGGACAGCAGAATAGCCAACAATCAACTCCGCAGATGACAGGAGCAATGGTCGGGATACGGATCCTGCTGCCCAAAGCTCAGCTGGGGCTTAGTCCTTAGCTCCACGGCGCTCAGAGTTAGGGGTCCTGGAGACGGCTTCCCTCTGGACCGGAACTTGATTCTCGCTGGACTGAGTTGTCAGGAAGTGAGCCAAGCACTTTGTCTTGTTTCCCTGCCGCATCTGCCCGTTTGTCCTGGCTGGGAATGGCAGGGCGGGAGGCTCTCACCAGAAGTGGGGCAGACACGGGCGCCTCCCGCTCAGACTCCAATCGTACAGACATGCCCCAAGGAAACGCTTTTCCTTACCAGTTGCCCAGATTCAAGTGTTTTTGTTTAATAACAGAAAACAAACTGACACAAGGGAACAGGAACCGAAGCAAGTTCAATGACTACCCTAAGGCCATCATTTATATTGGCACTGTTTTTGCGATAATTTCTGATAAGGAAATTGTTGAAAAGTACTGGAATGTGTTTTCAGGTGACCATGATTTCAGGAAGAAAAAGTCAACACCGGAGTCACTTAGTACTCTTTATGTCCAAACATTTATTTAGATGGGAAGGCTTGTGGGAAACTAAATACTTTGTCATTAGTATTAATTTTTATTCAAAAAATTATGCTGGCCATAGTACCCTTAGGTTTTATATCAAAATACCAAGAGCCTGTGAGATAAAAACTGACCTAAGGGTATAAATTAGATGAGGTTTATCAAGCTCTTATCTTTATGTCATCTTTGTTAATATCTTTTTTGTTTTTTTTAAGATTTATTTATTTTTATTGGGAAGTCAGATATACAGGGAGGAGAGACAGAGAGGATGATCTTCCATCTGCTGAATCACTCCCCAAGTGGCGGCAATGTCCTGAGCTGAGCTGATCTGAAGCCAGGAGCTTCTTCCAGGTCACAGGTGCAGGATCCCAAGGCTTTGAGCCGTCCTTGACTGCTTTCCGAGGACACAAGCAGGGAGCTGGATGGGAAGTGGAGCAGCTGGAACATGAACTGGTGCACACATGGGATCCCAGTGCTTGTAAGGTGAGGACTTTAGCCACTAGGCTTCTGCGCCAGGACCATCTTACTAATTTCTAATATAATTTCAGAAGCAACAGAGTGTGCATATACTATATTATATATACGCTATTTACACTTGATTTAAACGTTCTTTTGAAAATCAGTATTATTGGTCAGGCACTTGACCTAGGGGTAAAGATGCAAGTTAAGAAGCCTGTGTCCCTTATCAAAGCACTGAGATTTGAGTCCTGCTCCAAATTCCAGCTTCCTGTTAATGTGGATGCTTGAGGCAGCAGGTGATGGCTCATGGAATAGATTTCTGCTACCAACCTGGGAAATCTCGGCTAAGCTTCCTGGCATCCAGCTTTGGCCCAGTGTTGGCCACTGGGGACATTCGAAGAGTAAATCAGTGTCTCTTTCTCTCTCTCCCCCTGTCTCTCTGCCTCTCAAATAATAAAATCAATTTAATTGTCATTGATCTAGTTCGAGTAATAATACAAATTCCTATTTTGTTGTAATTACTTTCAAAATTTTGGTGACCAAGAATGACACTGTGTTCATACTGTTATCCCATGGTTCTATAGTCTACCACACAGAAAGTTCTTTCATATCTTTCATATAAAAATCTTTGTGTACTGTGTGTGTGTGTGTGTGTGTGTGTGTGTGTGTGTGTGTGTCTGTGTGCATGCTTGTGTATGGCAAATGAAACGGGTTTTGAAAAGTTCATGGAAAACGGGATGTAAAGATAATATAGACTCCCCCTGAATATTGTGGTGCCCCTTATATATCATAAATAAGCATGTTTTCCCTAAAGATTTTGCATAAAGCATGACAATTAAGTTTTATAATAAGTATAACTTAGCTGCATAAGCACATTGAGGTCTCTTGTAATTGCCACCACAATTATTTTGGCTAGTTTCAATTTAATCTGCAACTGAAAAGTGTTTTGAATACATTTTCTTAAAAATGAAGAATAGTTTAGGCTAGAAGTAAAATTGCTTTATTTTTTTAAATTATTATTTATGTTACCACTTCAACTTATTTAGTATTTGGACTCGTACTGACATTCCATGTAACGCTAAAAAAGATTTGAGTGGACAACCATGAAGTTAGTAATTTTCAGCATTTCAGCAGTAAATAGTTCTTAGACACCTATTTTGTGCAATATCTTTGCCAAAGAGAATTTTGTCCTCCTTTATAGTCACAAGAGTGTACGAATTCCTAACTTAGGCAATGCAAGTTTGCTCTGTACTTACTTATTCGATCACATGGTTCACAAACTTACAAACTTTGCAAATTTTTTGGCCTCACTAAGTACAGAGATCATTAAGGCAGGGTAGGCTTCTATAGTCTCCTAGGACCCTATCACAACATCGGCTAAACAGAATTTGTGGTGATTTAGCAGGAATTTTTTCCACACGGCATAGTTTATATCCCAAAGTCTACTCACTGAAGTGTTGTAAAAACCAAATCCTGTGTACAGTCAAGCACTTTTATCATTTGTTTGCTTGGGTGGGGCCAGACGGGTGTTGAGAGGGACAAAAATCAGATCACTCTGACAGGCAGTGGGGCAGAAACAGATTTTGATATTAATTATTCAGGCAAATGTTATGGCCAGGATATTTTGTGGAATTTTGCTTTATAAGTGTGGTAAGTCATTTTGATATTCAGAAATTCTGGGTGTAGTTACTAACACTACACCATGGCTAATTTTTACAGAGCAACATTTTGGCATAAGGATGTTCTATCTTTGACTCTAAAAATGAAACATAAGGTTCACAGACAATCCCTAGGAGTAGGCACAAGAATATTTAGACTTTTCTTGGATGAGTCCCATGGCTACATATTAAGCTGTTAAAGGATCGAGGTTTTGCTAATGCCAGAAGCTGAGTTTCACAATATGCATGCCAGATGTTGCCATAAAATGTCCCTTCGTGAACGAATACCACCAACACAGGACTCAGCATTGTGGAGGGAGGGTTGCTACTCACAGCCAGAGAGGAAACAGCAGCTAAAGTCTTGTGCTCCAGTTTACTTTGCTCTGGTTGGTGGTGGCCACAGAGTCAGTCCTGTCTTTTTCTCTGAGAAGCGTATGACAGTCATGAGTTCAGCTTTCCTGTTCTAGAAGCTTTCTAGTTACACAGCATCAGGGAAGCTTGTTCATCTCAATATGTACAATGATTAGTGGCTTTAATTTTTTTTGTGTTTTTTAGTTTTTAAAAACATTTTTTTAACTTAAGACACATTTCCTATATTATTCTTTAAATTATCCTGTTACATCATGTTGCTGTCATCACACTGCTGAGTGCCTTTCCCAGAGGGCCCCATGGAACTATACGGTTCAATTTTTGTGTGAATGTTCATGTGTTCATTTTCCCCCTGTGAGGCAATTATATAATTTATTTATACCTAAAAATACAAAATTACTAAATCATCCTTCAGGAGGACCGGTAAGTTTCTTGTTGGGCTTTCCACCGCTACATCCTTAATGTTCTTTTAGCTTCAGTTTGAATATCAATTTACTACTTTATGTACCAGTAGTTTCCTGCTATGTTGCCAGGGTATACAGTCTGTTACATCAGTTTAAATGTTAAACAACTATTTCATGTATGAGAGGTCTTCAACTGTTTCTTAGAAAATGTGTGTTATGATAGCACTGTGCATGGATTTCAATTTTTTTGTGTGCCAACATAAACTGAACTCATCTCTTAATTTCATTTTCCCATGATCTTCTTTGAAATACCCCTGCATATAAACCAAGAGAATATTCCACAACGAAAAGCTCTTCCACAAAGGAGCAGGCTGCCTCAATGGACAGGCACTACATGTATGATCTCTACTGGCATTAACTCTTCTCCAGCACCGATTTTCTTTTTCTTCTTATTCCCTCCTACTCCAAATCCACATAAAAACTTACCTCAGGCTCAGCTGTAGTTAGGTAATCTATTTTTTCCCAAGTAGGACCCTCTGCCTCAATCCCTCCTCTACAATAATATCTTAACTAGTGGAGTGTTGATCACACCCGTCTCATTTTTATGCCTTATATTTTTCTCACACCTTTTCTTTTTGACATAACCAAAGTCACAGTTATCAGAATACTTACCAATGGATCTGCCATGCTGCATGATAATGCTTGAGTTGAGTGAGCCTGGGAGAGAATATGCCGAAGGGGAAAATGGCCTTTGGTAGTAACTCATTGGACTCACAGCACCACCAGCGTTTCCATTCACTGTTATCTGGCTCTGAGAAAAAGTGCAAAGGTATTCCAATAAAAACACATAGTCTCCTGTCAATAACATCCCTTCAGCAGATGACAAAATATTTCCAATCCCATGGCAGTGATCCACTGCCAAGCTTTCATTTATTTTTGTAAACTCCTGTGTGAGGGACAGGGCAAAATTTGTCAGAGCCTCCTCGCTCTTCTTTTGTTGATGAAGACCACTCTCTTATTTTAGCACGAAGTGCAGGAGGTGGTGGAGAAGAGTGAAAGAAGCTGACCAATGGACATGACTCTCTGCCACTGAGATCCACAAGGGATTGTCTCTTAGAATTGTGACATATTTAAATAGAGAAGGTCTGAGGTGAATGTTCTTTGACATGACAAAAAGCCCTGGCTCTCAGATGGACTGAAGGGAATGCTCCAGTAGTGAATGAGTGTTTCCAGAGCGAGGTGACTAAGATAGGGAACATGGCCCTTTGGATTGAAATATCACTCAGGAACCTCTTAAGCCTTAGAACAGTCAAATACTACAGAAAGCATCTCAGGGATGTGAAAACACTGGCTTCTTCCTTCCTTGTCCTCATTTAGCATGTTGGGGATTTCACTTGGCTTCGCCACTTACTAATTTTGGACTGCTTCTTATTTGAGTGTTTTTATCTGCAGTGGTATCTCACCCTCTTGTTGGAGATGGTCAAGGACCAATATGCTGCATTTATACTTCTGTTTTTTACACACAACCTATTACTAATGACCTCTAGAAAGTGCTCAATAGGTACCAACTTTACGGTTTGATCAGCTTAGTTCACAGATGTTGAGCTCACGACTGTTAAACACATCTATCTGTCCATAGCACAGCGCAGCACAGCACTAGCATTATGGAGACAACACAATCATGCAAACAAGAAAATATCATTAAGAACACTCGGCTTCATTCACCTTATAACTATATACACACAAATACACATAGAAAGAGCTAATTTAGGAATTTTTGACTCATTTTAAGCCAAGTGAACTTATTATACAAGCTCCAAATATATGTGGACAAGCAACTGAATATTTCTATTTCACTTGAAAGTGTTTCCAAGTGACTTTAAACAAGTCTAATTGTATCACTTTCTTGCTTATAATCAGTTAGCATTGTATTGAAATGATGATGCCTAGTGAATAACTATTTCTCCAAGCTATTAAAAAACCCCTCCACCATGCATTGAGAATCTTCTATTTGCAGAAAAGTGCACATTCAAGTAAGTATAAGGCACAGTCTTGTGTAGATATTCCAGAGCCTTTCATACCTCTGATGAGAGAGTTGAGGATATATTTGTTCCCTGGTTTAAATCAAGTTTTGTGGATTTTTATAAATATGATAATGCTATTGTTGTAATGTGGGCTTAACCCTAGAAATTGAAGCTCCTTAAGTAGCCAGTCTCTGAATGGGATGTGTCAATGCCAAATTTTATACCTTGGTATAGGATGAACACCAAATCTCATTCAAAGAGTGTTTTTCCTTTCAGTGATGCTAATATCTCAGAAACATATGGTTCATCATAATATTTCATTATGCATGAAATTTTGACACAATGACAGACTTCACAGAACATAAAACCTATGAGGCACAATAAAATTTTGATTGTTTTGAACTTCATCATAACAATTTTTGAAGGAAATTCCATTTTTAACCCAATGTTGCATGCATTAAATGGAGCCATTACTATCCATTATATTCAGTTTAGAATCTGTTCCAGCCATGCACAGTCATTATGCAGAAATATGAATATAGTATTAGAAATGAAAATAAAGCATCGATATATAAAGTTAAGAATATATTTATAAAATAATTCAACAATATAGGGCTAAGTTTTTTGTGATACTGATGGACAGTATTTATATCATTTACTCCTTTATAAAGGATTAGTTAAAAAGACATAGCTCCTGGTGAACAAAGAGCAAGAGGAATTAGCATCATGTAATCAATACTTGTGTGGCACACAAGACATATGAATTATCTACACAGTACACATTAAGATAAGCCAGAAAATTGTTACAGCAATAACACTGTGTTAAAATTTCAGGAAAAATTCTAAACTTTCTAATTTAATCAAAGCAGTACTATAACGCAAGCTTATCTAAATTTCTGAAATAACTTCTAAGATAAATCACTCTGTAACTCATTAAGTACAGCAATAAAATAAGCCCTAGATAATCCATCTGAGAGTACCCAGAAGTAATCTTACAATGTGTGGGGAGACTATGTTATGTTTGTAGCCCTACCTAAACTTAAGGATGAGTGTAATGGATTTCCCTAACAGACAGTACAGAATTGATGTAGCAATGAACACCTTAGCAAATTAGAATATCCAGCTGCAAAACAAGCTGGCAGTCAAAAATTCAGTTCTTCTTATAAAAACTCATGGAGGCAAAGGAAGGATGAATAATTACATGCGTAGCAGCAGGGGTGGTTAAGGTGGTGCCATCTGTCACAGTGGACCTCCAACCCCAGGTTGGGGAAGGTGTCTCAGAACCATCCGTGGTGTCTGGACTACCAATGTCCAGCTCAGCTAGCATGGCGGTAGAGGACTCACTCTCCGAGCGGGAGGAGTCTGTCATGACAGAGCCCGCGTCCTGGCTGTGGATAAGGTTGTCAGGAAGTAGGACAGGGAGTTCCTCTACACAGTGTGAAAGACTCTGGGGGCTCTGCAGGAGTGGAGGCTCCCAGGCAGCAGGTAGCAGCATGCTAAGAGGTGCCTGGCTGGAGCCACTGCCTGATGAAATAGTGGTTTCGTTAAAAGGCACCATGGAAGAAGGCCATGAAGCAGAGGCTTGTCTGGATGTCTCTGAAGCATTTACCTCCAACACCTTGGCAGTTAAAGTCTGATTTCCAAGCTGAGTTTGAGGAAAAAAGTAGTAAGAAGAGATATAAATTATCCAATTAATAAGAACATCTTCTTTTCTTCTCTCTTTTTTGATGCAATGTGGTAGAGAAAGCAAAATATCAGGTTTATGTGCATGCACTTCAAGGAAATATATTCAGATGGGTTATGGATTAGGGGCTAATCACACAGTGCAGAAAAAATCATGAAAACATGAAGACAGGGAAGCTGGTCAGCGTTTTTTGGAAACAAAATTAGTTTTTATACAGCACTGCAATATCATTTTGAGTAGGCACTTGAGAGTGCAGGCATAGCATAGGGAGTTCTCCTCCCCTGAAAAGTTTTCATGTTTGTATTTATTACAGTGAAATAACAGAATACCTATTGGTCAAAAAAATTAGCCTGCTCTTTATTTGAAAAAATCTCTAACGCACTTCTCCTTACTGCTTCCCCTCTATTAAATGTCCCCAAAGTAGAAACCCATTTGCCTCACTTATTTTCCAACATAAATATGGATTAAATCTCAAAGAATTAAGTGGAAAGAGTATTATATTTTCTTTCCATTCACTGAATCTGTTGTATTGCAAAATGCTAAGAGAAATCTAATTTTATTATTTTAACTTAATAGTTTGGCGCTCTTTTTAGATAAAACATTTTTAACTTGCATTATGGTCCAAGACTGAATGGCTCTACCAATAGAGAGTTCAACAAATAAAAAACCAAAAGACCAAATGCCATCAGAAAAACATGCAAGGGCTATAAACAATGATCAAATGGAAAGAGGTTAAACTTCACTCAAATAAAGCAACTTCCAATATAAAGCAGTCACAACACCATTAATACTATAAAATTAACATTTTAAAAATACCCTAGCCATGCAATTAAAGGTATGTAAGTATGAAAATGAAGTGAAAATGAAAACCAGGCACTTCCAATTGTTTGAATGTACCTAGTTGGTTAGAACTACTGTTGATATGAATTTTAGGTAAAGGAGAAAGAAACTGGTGAAGAAATAAAGGCTTTAAATCTTCCAGGTCATATATAACCCAAGGTGATAAACATGGTAAGGAGATTGTTCATAGATGGAATAGGGAAGCTGGACCATCTTAACGTTTTCAAAGTCAACTGCAACAACTTTGGTGATGCGTAACGCTACAGGTCAAACAGGTTGAGCACGAACTCATAAGCAGTGACTACAACTCTGAAGCCATTTTTGTCCTTTATCCCACTCACTTTTCACAGTAGAGGAGTTTTTGGTGGTGTTTGAGGTGATGCTACTGCTAAATTAGATTGCCAGATGTATTATAGGATACGAGTACAAAAGTGGGGAAATAAATCAAAGAGAAGTGTATAAACTTATAAATATTGCCTACTAAGGATGTAAGTGGTACTGGCCAGTTATAACTTTCCGAACAATTGATGTCATGCAGTTGGCCTCATGAAAGTTATAATTAATTTTTTTCCATCAGAATTTTAACTGAGTACTTAAAAACATTCCCCCATATCAAAGGATCTCTGTAGGTCATAGATACATTAGAAATATAATGAAAGCTATTGATCTTTCTCTTAGGGAAAGTGCACAAATTTACAAACATATTCAGTTCTACATAGTTTTCATAGGTTTGGATGCGCTAAAGCACAACCTAATCCAACAGATGAAAAAATTTTAAAAGTAGATAAACGGTAAAAACAACTGTAAATGCCTTATATGCATGCAGAACAAAATATTAAAGGTTCAGAATATGATCAGAGCTATGTAAAGTTGTAAAAACAAAAATTTGTGTCTGTGATTTCTAATGGAAGTAAACTCAATATTGGCATTCTCAAAATCTGCTCTTTTTTAAAATCTAATTTTCCATGGAGAGAGGAGCCATGCTTGCCATTTTCCACTTAATCAATGATGATCTTAAATAATGTTCAGCTTACTTACGATGAAACATACAGTGAATTCTGTTATGGTATAATAGAATATTTAATGTATAAGTCTTAAATGTACATTTCAGCTTTTCAATAGTGTTCTTAATTTTTTCACATGTGAAAGAGATGGGGGGAAAACAGAGTTTCTGTCCTCTGGTTCATTCACAGAGAAAGGGAGGAACTGAGACACATAGAGATCTTCATCCTTTGTTTCACTCTGCAAATGACCACAATGGCT